TATGTATGTATGTATGTATGTATGTATGTATGTATGTATGTATGTATGTATGTAATGTTATGTTATGTTATGTTATGTCATGGTATGTTATGTTGTGTTATGTTATGTATGGTATGGTATGGTATGGTATGTTATGGCATGTTATGTTATGTTATGTTGTGTTGTGTTATGTCATGGTATGGTATGTTATGTTATGTTATGTTATGTATGCTATGTTATGTTATGTTATGTTATGTTGTGTTGTGTTGTGTTGTGTTGTGTTGTGTTATGTTATGTTATGTTATGCTATGTTATGTTGTGTTGTGTTGTGTTATGTTATGTTATGTTATGTTATGTTATGTATGTATGTTATGTATGTATGTATGTACGTACGTACGTATGTATGTATGTATGCATGTATGTATGTGTGTATGGTATGTAATTATGTATGTCTGTATGTGTGTATGTTGTGCATGTTGTGCATGTGTGCATGTGTGCATGTGTGTATGTGTGTATGTATGTATGTATGTATGCATGCATGAGATGCATGTATGTATGTATGTATGTATGTATGTATGTATGTATGTATGTATGTATGTATGTACAGTGAAAAGGCCCCCCCCCCCCACCCCCACAAAGCAAAAGAAGTGGACCCAGTATGACTTGCCCAGCCGTTCGGTCTCTCCACGGCCACTTGGACCCGAGCAACCTTCGCTTGAAGCTGCTGGCTTCGTTCTCGGAAGGCATGGCGCAAGCAACTCACAAGGACCAACACAACGTGCATATGCCCCATATTGACTACTGAAAGGAGACAAGGACGAGATGTGTCACTCAGCATGACACTTGCATATGAGGCGCGGTCGACACTAGCTTTTCCCCAAGAGGACATGGGGAACTTAGTGAGTCCTCTGGTCTTTGTGGTTCTCCCATGAACCGTAGACTACTACTGAATACTCGGACCAATGCTCATACGATTGCTGCCGTCCCTGTGTGGAATGGCCCTGTTCTTTTGATCAATAGGATATCTACAACCCAAACAGAAAGTCATTCTCAGGCGTTGCCCCCCACATATGGCCGCCATATGCAGGACCTTCATTCCTGGAGAGATTACAGCAATTTCACCAAACTAAAAGGAGGAGTCAAACCATCCCAACCTGCCATGAGGAATCGGGTGTCTGACTTTGACCAGTAGCCTTCAGGAACAACCCGAATGATTCAACTGGGGGATCCCATTATGATGTCCGCCAACCACTTTTGAGGTCCCGAGATTCGCAGTAAAGGTCAGGCGCTCGGCGCCGCGCCCTCTGCTTGCTCCTCCTTGCGGGCCGCCTCGGGCGCAGGGCAGGCAGGGAGGGGGACGGGGGAGGGGCGCCTGGGTGGTTGGAAACAGAACAAGCCGCGGAATTTGTAGATGTTGCTTTTTCTGTTTCTCATCCCAAAGAAAACCATACTTTGGCAACCTTAGAACTGCCCAGCAGTTCAAGAATTGGTTCTTCCGGACCCCTGGCAACCAGGTGAAGTTGATCCCCGATGGCCGAGACGCAGGATTCCTGAGGTGTCAGGGGCTCCAGCTCGACTTGGCAGGGTCGATTTCGGGAGCCAAACTGCTACCCTCCCCCAGACTAACATGGAAGCTCCCAGGACCCCTTTGGAAGACTGGGTTCCATTTACAGAGGTCTTCTGGGAGCTTCCATGTTAGTCTGAGGGAGTGTACCTCTTGCAAAGCTGTACAAAGCCAACCGGCCGCCGGGGCCCCGAAGCCTGCGATGCTATGCCCCTGGCGGATCTGTCATTGGCCTCTCGCCTGCGTCCCGCGAGGCTGACCCCACTGTCAGCCCCCTTCATTCTTGGCAAGGCTCAAACACGGCTGCGCTTGCTTGCCGCAGGCCCTTGGGGCCCACATGGCCTGATACAAAGGCCCTCAATGCTGGAAAAGCATGCGTGTTCCATGATGCCATGGGCAATGGAAAAAATCGTACACATCCGCAGCATGTGAACACCACCGTTGTCAAATTCCCCCCGTTGCTCATCAATTGTTTCGATGGGAAAGCTTTGGTGGACATCGTTTAACGGGAGCATTAGCTCCACCAACTAATTTGGGAAATGGTCCAGTCAAACCATTCGAACTCATGGCAAATATGTCCCTGGTCAAAAGCGCAGGGGCCTGAATTTCCGTGCGAATCCATCCAACTCGACGCAACGCATGTTTTGACCATGGCGCATGCTGGGTCCACTTAAATTGACATCATCCAACTCAGAGCTCCAAACGGTAGGTTAAAGAGAAACCAACTCAAGGCAAATCATTTTGAAAACTCCAAAGTGCTGACTCAGTCCCAAGGCCAGGCGCCACCGCGCCTCCAAGCCAGCAGGACCCGTTGCAGCCTAGGGTGTGCGCGGTGACATGCATTTTTGTGATGTCACGCAGGCAGAGATGGGCGTTATCTGGAAAACAGTTTCGAGATTCCAAGAAAAAATCACAAGAGATATCTTTCATGGTTCAGCCATTTGTCTTCAAAAAAAAGGTGGGGCTGGAGGAATGCTTGCGGTCGGCTTCGGAGAGAGGCGACGTGGCCAACAACCTGAACACACAAGCGGCTTCTTGGGCCATCTTGTCTGACCACAAACAAGCAAGCAACCAGGCAAGAAGCAAGCAAGCTAGCAAGCAAAACAGCAGAAACGAACCGAAGCAAAAAGACGAACGAACGTACATTCAAGCAAACGGCCACCCCCACCTCCGCCGACCCCGCGCCCCTCGAACCGAACCCGGCCGCCAACACCGCAAATCGCGCGAAACTCCGATGTCCTGGGCGGCACTGGGCGCTGAGTATTAGGCGCTTGAGGGCGTTAGCAAAGCGCTCGCCCAACCCCACACGCTCAATCCTGGCAGAGGTTGAGTTGCACAGCTTGCGCCACACTGCCAGGCCTTCAATGCCCCAGTGGCTGGGGTCACGAACACGAGGTTTTGAGTGCATATTCCACATGTGGACCCGGGGCACCTGTCGCTTTCCTGCTGGCGGCCAGTGGCGCGCGTCCTTGATGGGCGTCATGCCAAGTTGATACGCCCCCGGCGCGATAGTCACGAACAGGGTGGCCGGCCCCAGCTGCCGATGCAGGCGCATGAGTGCGAGTTCTCACTCCCAGTGGTAAACTCTGCATCCTCCAGCAACGTGCTCTGCGCCAGCGCCTCCTTTTCCTGGGAGCTCTGCAGACAGAAAGGAAATCGGGCTGAGGAGGAGGCCGAGGAGCTGCTCTTGCAGCCACCTAGAGCTCATCCTTTTGATCGGTGTGCCGCATGTTGCCATTGAGGTTGCAGCGCTTCTTGCAGCTTCAAGCGGCTAGCATCACACAAAGACACGACGCTTGCAGGCCCGCGATCACCAAAACCCCGTGAACCCCGCCAAGCATGCAAATCAAAACCAGGCGCACCGCAGGGTCTGGCGGAGAAGCATGGCAAGTGTCAAACATGGCAGAGGTGGAGGGTTAGTTCATGTTGGCCCGCCTTAAACTGGGGCAAGAACGGGGCCCATTTCGTTTTGATACAGGCCAAGGGGGTGGTGCACCTTTTGCCTAACGCAAGGACTGGTTCAGCTGGCTTCTCGGCATGAAGTCTTCACGGAAAGGCGCTGTGACGAACTGCCGGTCTGAAACCCTGGATTGCGAACCAAGACAAACTGGATGGATCCTGGGGTTGCCCCACCAAAATCCTCCCTTACTTGAAGGGGGGTCCGTTTTGAGATACCCCTGGCTTTCGTTTAGGAGGCTTCTGGAGACACACAATTCTGAACAAGCCAGCACTCAGAAGGGTGGAAGATTGGGCAAAGAGGTTTTACACCATGAACTTCTTTGACAAATAGTGCCTTCATGAGGATATTACCACAGCCGCAGTTTGTTTCCCAACAATGTCTACTTGTCCCCAACTCGAATGAGATCTTCAGCACATGGTCAATCCCCTGACGCATGCAAAACTATCCTCAGAGATCTACTTCGAACATCTTCGAACATGAGTCAAGAAAAGAGCCAACTCTCAGTTGTTCAGTGACCCTGGAAAACAAAGGGAACCCTTTCTGGGGAAGACCATTTTTAGTGGGGGCAGTCACCAAAAAAAGGGGAAAAAAGGTGCCACTGAACAAGTGAGAACTTCTTCTGACGTGTGGATCCTGGGCGAGAGAAGCTGGATGCAAACTGGTCCAATCACCGGACGCATCGGGGCGCCGGGCAGGTTGCTATTGGCGTCTGCCACGAGTGCAAGGACGATCCTCACAGGGCCAAAAATGCCAAAAGGCCCAGGAATGGCAAGGCCGCCAGTTTCTGTCACTTGAACAACAGCACCTCCTTTTTTTGTTGGGGAAGAGGGATGGAAAAGAAATTAGTCGAATAAGCATCGTTTGACCCTGTTTGGGGTCGATTTAAAGGGAAACCAACGGGACACCAACCATTTGGAGATATTTGGAGGCTCCCTTATTTTGAGACAGCCCCAATAAATTGACCAGGCCTCACCTGCAAGGAGTCTCTGCTCCGCAGGGATGCCGCAGCTCCCACTTTTCCCGCCCGAACCTGTCCAGCGGTTCGTCACCAGGAGGGTGACGCGTGCCGCTGTGCAACTTACCCTCTTCCCCTTCAGCGCAAAACAACTCTGGGAACCTCCCGCAAATCGACGAAAAAAACAGTCATTAGTTGGTTGCGCAAGATTGATTGGTTTCCAAGAAATTCGCTAAAATGTCCTCTCAGCCAAATGTCGGAAGGGGAGGAAGGTCGCTGCTGCCACGAGTCGTTTTGACCGCGGCGGTGACACCAGCCTCCGCTTTCAGCGAAAAGCTGCCTCGGGCACTGCTGGCTTAGCTGTGCCCAGTGCCCATGAAGCTACCGCTTTGACTCCCGCCTGGTGCCACAACTGGCACCCTCTGGTGGGTGGCGTCAAAAATGGGAACACCAAAACAAATGTGTCCCCTTTCAAAATGTCATCCTATAGTGGATTGCTGCATGTGTTTGGGATGTCAGCGCGCTGTGCGCAAAGAAGGCGCTGCGTCTTTGAGGCACGTTGGGTTCCCTCAAGGCATCTAGCGATTCCCGAGCAGACGAGGTCTGGTGACCGTCTCATGGCCGCGGAGTGCGGGAGAAGGAGAACCTGGCAATCGGCTAATCGGCTGACCGCTCACTCAAGGCGCAGGTGTTTTGTCCCTTTGGGTGAGGACATCTACATGGGGTTCTTGACAGGATTGTGGGCAGTCCCCTGGAATCAAGAAAGGATCAATCCTATTCCCAAAGCTCACTATAAACGGTGCAGAGGATTACGAGGAGGCCTTGGACCCGCTGTGATACCGAAACACCTCCCCTTTTAAATGGTGAAGGCCTTCCATTGATATGGCAAAACGGACCATTGGCAGCTCACATGAGGCACGCTCAAAAATGCGTGTTCCCCCAAGCCGACAGAAGGATTTGCGTTTTTCGAGGGTGCCTTTTCAGGCTGGTTTCAAGGGAAATCAAAGGAAACAAAACCCGTTTTGGGCTCTTCCCTATGCCGCGTGCCGAGTCGGCTTGGCTCGGCCCCCGCAGGCGGCCCTTAGGCCCTGGCGCCGGGTCCTTCGTATAGTGCGGCAAGTTGCACCTCGGAAACCAAACGCGAGGCGTGGTGCTTTATGGTTTCCTTCGGGGAAACCCTGAAAAAAAACAGAAACCTGCAAGGCCGGCTTAGTTTTGCGCGGATATTCCCCTTGGCCTTTCAAGTGGCATCCTCAAAATTGCCCTCCAAATGGGGGTTCCGCCCCAAAGGGTATTTGGAAAAAGTTGTCCAGGCGCAAACCTCTCTTCAGGACCCAAACTTTCGGGGTGTCCTCGTCCAACCAACCGAACACCGGCACTGGCACCAACCCGCCACGTTCGGCCGCGAGTTTCCCCCGACTGGGCGCCCAGGCACCTCCTCTGGGCTGATGCAATGAAACTCCGGGCTGTTGAGGCCGAAGCCCTGCACCGACAGCTGGGCATCCAGACGCGGTCAAGGAGAACCGTGCGCTCCAGACGCCATGGGCGTCTTATTCGCAAAATAGTTGGTACTGGCAAGTGAAGTTGAATCACACCATCTGTGTTCAACTCCCCCTAAAACCAAGAACAGTCAGGGGTCTCTTGGGCTGGAGTCCCGGGCAAGTGCCTTTCCATCGCGCTGAAACTCTTCCAAAATCCCATATTGCATGATTCGGCCCTCCCACCCTTAATTGCTATCACCGTGGCGTGGAGCACCGTGAAAAAGACCAGTATCACTTGGCATTGGCATGACTTGATTTTGACCCAGAACTTGATCAAGAAGCACGAGAGGTCCCCAAAATTAATCCCCTAAAATAAACCCCTAAAAAGGCCTCCCCTCAATTTTGCGCCATAGAAATTCCGCCCACTCAAACTGGTAGGGCGGAAAATTGGGGGGGGCGGGGGGGCTCGCTCTGCTCAAAGGCCTCGCACGCAGAGGCGAAATTGGAGATGAAGGGCAGCTTCTTGAAGACCTCCTCGCGATTTTGGCTTTGGGGAACAAAGGCGGCGCCCTTTTCTTTATGGGTTGAACCTAAAAGAAAAAGCCCTGTCCAAAGGAAACCTGAGCGAGTTATAACTAGTGCACATGCTGGACCCTCAATTCGAGAATTGGATCTTCAGGACACTTCGCGGATGTGTGTATTGTGTCTGCGGCTACTTGCAGCAGGTGTCTGTGGTTGCTTCGCCCGCGGGCATCTGCGCTCAGAAGGCAAACACAAAGCCAGACGTACCCGAGATGTGGAGTTGTCTGCGGGTCCAGAACCTACCCTTTCGTAATGCCGATATGGAAACTTGTGACTACATGAGCACCTCTCCCTGAATTGCACACACCGGCAAACAAGTGTTTGCACATATGACAGGTGTGCATAATTTTTGAGCAAACTTGGGCCTCTTAGAATGTCATACAAATCCCACACACAATCACATGGATCCAAGTACCGTATGCCTACGCACATGCTGTGAATGAAAGTCCTGATTGTTCACCAACTTCGGCGCCCGGGTAAAGGAGCCCAACCTGAGCTTGGGCAATTCGAGCCAGATGTGGTCCGGAAACGGTCAATTCCCAAGGCCCGGCCTTCCTGTGAACTCGGGCCAAGTTGGGAGAAAAACTGGGCGGCCCAAAACTCTCCGCCTAATGTCTCTCGAAAACGGCAACGGACAGAGTCATTGAATTTCCTTCAAAAAATGACCCCAAACAGAGACTCTATCTCCTAGTCGATGTCGAATTGCCGTGCGGTGGTTCCCCTAAACATCCTAAATGAGCCACACAAGATAAAGCAGCAAAGAACGGTAGGCCTTTGTTTCGGTGGATGATCTGGTTTACCTTGTTCCCCGCTTGCACCGCGATGTGATTTCGGGCACCCAGGCTTGGCCCTGAAGAAGGTGTCGCTAGTCTTGGCGGCGGCCTGGCTGCGGGGCGGCGCTGGATTCTTGTTTGTTTGTTTGTTTGTTTTTGTTTTGGTTGGTTTTCTTTGGGGGGGAGGGGGGGATAACTTTTTGGGGGATACAAGTTTCTCGATGTTGTTTGTTGTTGTTTTGTGTTTTTTTTTGGGGGGGGGTAATTCTCAAGATCTACCCTTTTGGGGCTAACCCCCAAAGTCGGTTCCCCAGCACATAGCGTCCCGCCTCGTACTGACCCGGCCCCGGCCTGCAGTCGAGCCCAGCCCCGTGGGAATTCGGGATGGAAATCAAAAAACCGTCCACCGGTTTGCAACCCGCAGGTGTTTGAAGAAATCCTCGCAGAAAACAGAGCATGGAATAACAGGGGATAGTGTTATATCCTTAGGTGGATTGAACAGCCCAAGTTTTCGCAAGCGATCCAGGGAACTCTCCCCATTTCGGGATTCGAGAGGCGCTATCAATTTGGAAGGGCCCTTGCGACATTTTGGGTCCAAGCTTCCACTGGGGCTCCCTTCTGAAACCGCTCATTCCTGGATCTGATTTGAAATCAAGGGCGATTGACCTTCTAGAATCTGGGGCCCACTGATTACATTACTCAAAATGCGGATCCCGAGCAAGAAACCGCCTGAAGACACGGGTCAAGTTCCTTCTTGCCAAAACGAGACTCACTTTAATCGAAAAGGGGGAAGGTGTGCTTCCAAAAAATGTCAGACCATCAGACCGTGGCTGGAAGCAATTCTTTTGTCAAAGGGTACCTTGGGCAACACCCTTGGAACTACAAGTGAAAGCATTTACGGGTTCTCCAAATTACTTTTGGGAGGGTTCCCTTTAGACATCCATTTCCTCGTAATTTGAAGATCTCCCTTTCATGCCCAGTACCACCTACCAATTGGGTTGCCCGCCCCAAAAGGCCGTTTACCACCAGTTCGGCGACCCGCTGAGTGGGTAACCAATGGGTTCTATGGGATGTTAAACTGGTCCTCTGAAGTAGAAGCCCCAAGAAAAGCGTGCTGGTTCCCAGATTCCCGGAATGAGTTGGAACCCAGCAACGGGCGCGTCTAGGGCATCCATCCCTCTATGTTTACATTACAAACACCCTTGAATTTCCTGAGAACCAGCCAGAAAATGGCAATCCGAGACAACGTCTGTAAAGAAAGGGTGCTTCCAAAACGGACCCCAAATGTGGTTGGCTTCCATCGTTCCCCCACAGAACCCATCCAACGTAAAGACCGTTCTGGTAGGGATGTGTCTTCTTTAGACGGACCTTTTTTGGAGTTGCTTTAGCCTGACCCACATGTGGAGTACTCCTTTAACAATATATATATGCCCAAGTTCTGCTTGTCGTCCGTCCTAAATATAGAATCGTTTCGAAGGACACCGCAGTTCAGGGAAGCCAAAGGGAAACCACTCATTTTGGGGGGGAGTCCTTCTATGATCCTTTTGCTTAAGGGTCGCCTTTTTGGGGGTTGGTGTCATGTGAAACCGCCAGGGGGGAAATCGGATCACTGCCCCGGGCCCCACCGGTCACCGGATCACCGGACTCGGGGCCCCCGGCAGCTTCGCGGCGTGGAGCCGCAGCTGGTCCCAGGTGCTGGCGCCCCTGCGCCGGCGTTTTCGACCGCTGCTCAGCCAAAACCACCCAGCGGGGGGGGGGGGGGGGGGGGGGGGGGGGGGGGGGGGGGCGGGGTGAGGCGGGGAGGGGTGGGGGGACCTCCGTGGGGTGGGGCGGGGTGGGGCGGGGAGGGGTGGGGAGGGGTGGGGGGACCTCCAGTTTTCTTCGGCCCAACAAAATTGTGTCGGGCATGACCCCCATGGGGATGAATATGATGACTGATGAAGAAAATGTGAACCAAAACGGAGGTCAAACAAAACGGTACTAGGTTGGAGCACAGGGCGTCCGATGTTTGGCCTGTGTTTGCTTTGGGCTCATAACCCAAAATATGAAGGTCGATACAGAGGTTGGAGGTTGGACAATAGGGTCCCATCCGGCAAACAATCGGACACCCTGCTTTTCCAACCCAAAAACAATTGTGTGAACCTCCAGCTTACCCTGCGTCGGAAAGCTGGAGACGTTTGCTCTGCCTTTGTAGCGTTAGTTCATGTTTCTGGGTCACCGGCACAAACTTGGAATGGTCCTTTGGGGGTCCGTGAAACCCATGAGGGAACCATTGTTCCATAGGGAATCCCCTGCCGCAAAAAGCCATCCCTGGTCTCCCGGCTCACTGTGGAAAAAATATCATGTTGTGCAAAGTTGGCGAAAACAATGCAAGAACATGAAACAACCGGTTTTTTCCCGGGCTGAAAGCCCTAAAACTCCCCCCTTCTTGGAAGGACCTGGAAATCAACAGTTGAGCCTTTGGTCATGACCTGAAGCACATTTACCGAGGATTCAAATTTTGACTCACTTCTTGAAAGGACCAGGAAACAAAGCTTAACAAAGACGTTGCCAAAGCTGGGAATCTAAAGGGAATAGGCTCAGGTGATATCCCCAACAGCGTGCGGTGCTCTTTGTAGTGCTCACCACCCCGCAGAACCTCGTGGAACCCTCGTGGAACCTCCTGGAAAACTTGAGGAAAACTCGAGGAACCCTGGTGGAACCCTGGTGGAACACTGGTGGAACCCTGGTGGAACCCTTGTGGAACCCTCGTGGAACCCTCGTGGAACCTTACCTCGGGGCCGCCCCGGACCACCCCGGAGCCCATCTGGGCTGAGACCCCAAAGCTTTCAGCTGTTGGGGAAAAAACTTGACTTTGGCAACCGAGTAGAATTGGCTCAATCTGTGATGCCTTTGGGATCTAGCCAAAGCCAACATCCAGGAATCGATCGGAGAAGGGGACATGTGGAGCGGTGGGCCGAACGCCAACCAGTTCCCCTCCCCAAAAACCGGGCGAGGAATCCAAGCAGCTCTCTTGGAGGAATCTATTTCCTGGGAAGATAGAAAGTGCCGTCCGGCCACTACCATCGATTGACGTCATCCATTGGGACTTCAAACCGAGCCCGGTTGGCCACGTCTGAGGAGCCGGCTTTCGAGCGAAAGAGGCGGCCGGGCCAACCTCCTGAACGAGCTGGGCTTAGTTCGATGTCTCCACGGGGCTCGGTGTCTATTTGGCTTCCCGGTAAAGAAAACCCCCATAAGGACGCCAGCAAAAAAACATGCAACCAGTTGGTGATCAGGACCATGAACAGGGGGCACCGTGTAGCAATTATGTTCAAGGGTGGGAACAGACATGCCTTGGGAAAATGATAATCCCAAAATACGAGGACCCTTGGTGAACCGCCAGTTGTGGTTCACTGGTGTTGCGTCTGTGCAGAACATGCTCGGGTTTCTAAGGGACACGCCTCCAACATCCCGAAGCGGGTCATCAATCGCAGCATGTTAAAACTTGCTGAGGGCCTCCATAAAGAGTCAAGGGCACTGAGGAAGCGCCTTTTTGACCAGTTTGGCGCCTTTTGGCAAGAAAAAACGTAACCTGATAACGACCGATGTCGGGCCCCGCCTTTGCATCTCCTATCTTAGGAGCGCCATAGTAGCCTTCATGCGGGCAAAGGGCGAGGCGACTGTGGCGTTCAGCGGAGCACACCTCCGAATGCTGCCCCAAAGATCCTGGAAAGGACAACAAAGGGGCAACCCTGTTGTTGAGGGCAACCCTGTTGTTGAGGGCAACCCTGTGGTTTGGGGCAACCCTGTTGTTGGGGCAACATTGGCACTTCACAAGACACGGAACCCCTCTGGGATTGTCTTTGAAGGGCCCAGAAGCAAGCCCGCTAGAAAGTAGGCGGTACAAATTATCTGTGTGTGGGCAAGTAAGAAGGATTTTTACTAAACCAAAATTGGGGAGGGGGGAAGATTGTGCCATCCATGTTCACCCAACTGTAGGGCCCCTTTGACGTTCGCAACCCTGGATCGTCAAGTGGCGAGCCTGGTCCAGGTACGATCGATCGGGTGTAGATGCTGCCTGGACAGCTGGCAAGAAGCCCTGAGAGGCTCTTGTTTCTTCGATGGTTGCCCTCAGTCAAGCAACGTATCTTGCCTTGGAATGCAAAAACATCTTAGGAAACCTTTGCAGGGCGTGCAATCAGCGTTCCGTATCGCAACCAGCTGAACCTCCAGGATGCATCGAAGCTTGGCAAGTGTCAAGACGTTCCAAACTGGTTTGGCCAAATTGGGGGACCTGACGTCCTTTGGGTTCCCCTTCCAACCCAACGACAGCGGCTCGAGAACCTACACACAGGCGGCTTCCTTCAAAACCCTCGTTGGGCTGCTTTCTTCCAAAAATGGGGACCCGACTAAGTGCACCAAACCTTTCAGGACTTTCCCTTCTGAAGCGGTCTTTGGCGCGAAAAGGCCTAACCTCTCGAAACCAAGAAAATTGAGGCAGGGTGTTGCTGCAACCCAGTGGGTGTTTTTCAGCCTTCAAACCACTCGTTCTTTGACGACCTCATCTCGGTGCAACCAGGTTGATCTGGTCTTTTGAAGCTTGGCCAAAACAAGGTGACAGACAAACTGAGACAAACAAAAGCTCAAAAGGCATGGTTGGCTAGACACACACACACACACACACACCGGGGTGCCTGGAACCGGCACGACCTCCTCCTGGAGCTGCATGCGGAGCGCCTCCTTCTCCGTCTGGGCGAAGCGCTTGGCAAGCGTTTCGCAAAAATGGGCTCCGGTTCTTGGGTCCCGGTGAAACCCATTAAAAATGGGGGCGGGGGGGGGTCCCTGAAAACAAACACTGACACGTCTCCAAATGGTCATTTATTTAGTCTTGGTTGGCTATGTATTGATTTATCGACTTGTTGGCTCGTCTGCTTCTTAAGCTGTTTACCTATTTAGTAGCTTTGTCTTTCTTGATCTATTGTGTTACCTATGTATTCAGCTATTGATTGATGAATATAGACGTAGATCTAGATATAAATACAAACATAGACAGATCATGCATACAATATGAAACCCTCCGAGAATAAAGAGTTACCTTTTGCGGGAATTCGTTGGTATATGCGGTGTGCTCTGGCGTTTTGGGGGGGAAAGGAGGAAACATCTCGCAATTCCAAAGAAGAAATCTGGAAGCTTCAGGCTCCTCTCTGAAAGCTTCAGGCTCTGGACAAAACCGGGGAATACACCAAGAAAAGATCTGATAACAACAGTGACAATAATAATGAAAACCGGCTGACATCCTTCCTCAGGAAGCTGGTGTTCATGTTTTTCTCTGTTTCCTTTTGTTTCTCGTAGATGTTTTGGCTTGCATGTTGTTTGTCATTTTTCCTTGGCTCTTGAATCCGACTGCTTCAGAGGGTGGTTTTATCTAGGCTTGCCAGCTCAAGGGCTAAGCCTAAGTTAGTCTAAGATTCAGGCTTGGCAATACTAAATTTAGACTTGCCAAAAAAATCTAGCAATACTGAATTAAGTAAAGGCGTAGCCGACAATAGCCCCTGATGTTCTTTAATATGACTGCTATGGGGTACTCGTTAATGGCACGGGCAAGATAATGTGTAGGAGAGTTCCCAGATCAAAGCCTTAGCTTTTTACTCTTGAAGGGTCGCGCTTTCTCCGAGCCCTTTCAAGCTCAAAGGCTAAGACGAAATCTTGGCCATACTAGATTTAGCTCAAAACACTGAACACACTCTCATTGTTTATCTTTCTTGATTTATATTTACGTTGCGTTGTGCCTGTTACTGTTTATGGTCATGCGTGCATTTAGTACCCTGCTTGATTGATTGATTGATTGATTGATTGATTGATTGATTGATTGATTGATTGATTGATTGATTGATTGATTGTTTGATGTACTGTTCGCTTGCTTGCTTGTTTGTTTGTTTGTTTGCTTGTTTCCTTTGTTTGCTTGATTGTTTCCTTTGTTTGTGTGCTTGATTGCTTGCTTGTTTGTTTGTTTGCTTCTTTCTGTCAAAGTATTGCATGCATGGCACACCCCATAATACTTCACCATGACACTTCGGTGCATGGCTCAAGTGCACAGAGGAAAATAGGGAGCTGCTAGGGTACTTCAGGGTTGAGTGTGGTCATACAGTAGGAGTGTTGTTTGCATCACTTCTGATCAACTTGGATTTTCTCATGGTAGCGGAGCTTTAGTGCTCCAGTAGGACTTCGGTAGAGCCCAACTTTTGAGAAATCAAAGGAGGTCACTTAGGTGACTTCGACTGCACAGAAGCCAATGGCAGAGCTGGAGTCGGAATTCGGTGGTAAGCTTAGGCTTCCACTTCCGAACCCATTTAATGGTCCCTGCATCCTGGGAGGAATGGGAATGGAACTTCCGCACTTATCTTTCTATGTTTGAGCCTTCAGTGATTCCCATTCTGGAAAGATCAGCAACTTCTGCTGACCCAATCCTGGATGACCACTTCGATGGTATCACAACTGACGTAGCAGCTAGGCAAAAAACTTGCGACGTTTTCTAGGACACTTCATTTTTGCTAGCCAATTTGACGAAAGATAGTGCCACACTTCTGGTAAGGCACAATTAAGGAGGCAACGGGTTTGAGACCTGGCGCCGACTTCATCGCCAATTTTCATTACCAGATGCCACCAGACATGTGTCACTTCTGACTCAGTTGTTAGACTGGAAGTTCAACACAAGCACTTTTCAGCAAGACTTCAACGCCTGGGAGACAGTTAAGGCCAAGTACGAAAGGCAAACAGGAACTCCAATTCCCGATAGTGTACTTGTGGCAACGCTGATGAACAAAACACAAGGCGCACTTCAGCAGCACCTTCGTCTCAACGCGCATGCACTTCAAAGTTACCAGGCCACTCGTGAGGTGTTGGTTCAGTGCTTCAGGTCGCGTCACATCCTGACCACTTCACAATCAAATGGAGCAGCTCCCATGGACATAGGTGCACTCAAAGGCAAAGGGAAGTATTCGTACTTCAACAAAGGAAAAGGCAAGAAAGGCAACAAAGGCAAAGGAAAGGGTGGCTTCGGTCACTGGAACTTCATGAAAGGAAAGGCAAAAGGACTCAAAGGTAAAGGTAAACCGAACTTCAAAGGCAAAGGAAAGCAGAACACTTCGCAGTACAGCGCTTCGAGCGCTTCGGCCTCAGGTAAAGGGTCCATGACACGCTGGTCATGTGGGACACAGGGGCATACTTCTCAGTTTTGTCCTTGGAAGAGAGTCAGTGCTGTTGATGAAACTTCAGGTGAGTCATTCGATGATTCATGGAACACTTCATGGCATGAGAGCGACATGTGGAATGATGAGTGGACTTCTGATGAATGGTCCATTGGGGCTCTTTGGGCCCCCACTTCTTGGGAAGATGACTCATGGAACTTCGGCCCATGGGACTTCAGTGCAGGCGAGTGGAGTGAGGCACCTGAGACTTCGGGACCAGAGGCCCAACTTCCACAGGCACCTGCTGAGCCAAGCACTTCGCAGCCAACTGGTCACACTTCAAGGACCCCTGGTCTTGAGAAACCTGTCACTTCTTCAGCCCCCATGCCTAAGGCAAAGGTGAAGGCTTCCCCCAGCATACTTCTCGCTGCAGTGACGTTGAATGCAATTGCAACAGGAGCCACAGGACACTCACTTCCTGAACCTGCTCACTCAGGCGTTTTCTCGTGTACCTCGACTTCAAGCGGTTCTGGTTTGGTTGACTTTGCAGGTTGGAGTGACTTCTGTTGCATGGTTGATGTTGGCTTGAGCTTGCCAGACTTGCGTGGTTTGAGCTTGGATGACACTTCGGACCAACTTCCATATGAGAGCAAAGCTCAGTCGGATTTGAGCACGGTACTTCACAGTGACCTGCGCTCATCCACTGAGTGTGCAATGGCACCACTTCTGCATGATGGTGTTGAGGAGAACTGTGAAGTTCTTCACATGGATGAGTTTGTGAGCTTGACTTCAGTTGGCTTAGGTCACTTGGACGTTGAGTTTCATGATTACTTCCTTGAACAACACTTGGTTGCACCCATGGTTGACACTTCGGAGTGGATTCTTTTCGACTCTGGTGCAGCGGCAAACTGCTGCCCCAGAAACTTCGCACCGGCATGGCCACTTTTGCCATTGACCGGTAAGCCACCTCCACTTCGAAGCATATCAGGACAACTTCTGAATGTGTACGGTCGGAAACTTGTTGGCATGGAGATTGGCGGAGTTGGACTTCACTTGCACTTTTATGTATGTGATGTTCCTTACCCTGTTGTGTCAGTTGGAAGACTTCTTGGACAAGGTTTTGAGGTGTCACTTGGAAAGGAACTTCACCTGAAGACACCCGAGGGATCCAATCTTGAACTTCATAGATGTGGATCGTTGTTGTTCATGTGTCCAAGAATCCTGAACTTCGAGAAGTCTGACTATGAGTTTGTAAGTCAGGTCTTCCATGAGCAGTTCAGGCCAGACTCCAACTTGGTTGCGCCAACTTCCTTCAAGCCAGTGTACTATCATGCTGATCTCCTGAAGGTACTTCCGACAGGCCAGTGACTTTGGAGCAACTTGCTGATGAGCGACGAACTTACATGACGCACTCCGATGGCCGCGAAGAAGTTGTAGTTGACAACTGGCGCACTTCGGAGGAGCCGCATAAAGCATATGCGGACTTCTGGAAAGGGCGCACAGAATTCGTGCTTGCTTCAAGGCCAACTGGAAAGAAGCTGACCGGCAAGCAGAGTACTTTGCCCCAGCTTAGGAACGTTCAGCTGGAACCCGTCGCTGCAGATGCCACTTCTGCAGCGCAACCAGCTTCGAGCGCTGCGTCTTCTTCCAGGCCACCTCAGCGGACTGTCGCGGAACCTTCTGCTTCAGCCCGAGCTTCGGCCAATGGAGGATACAGAGATGACTTCCGTCGCAAACTTCAGATGGCCTCTGAAGGAAACATGGACAACATTAGAAAGATGGTCCTTGAGCAGATGAAGTCGAATGACCCGGAGACTGGACTTCCTTACACTCACGACTTCTGGCTGAGCACCTCTCTGATGTGGATCAGGTTTCATCACGTACCTCGATCCACCATGTTCGTTCCAACAGAGGTTGAACTTCAGGATGGACCCCCGCAAGAGGAACTTGGCAACGGTCGAATGACCATGGTTCTCACGGATGCCGGCGACCAATGGCATGAGGACACGTGGGACTTCGACGACTCGAACGCCAAGCGTGACATCGGGGTCACGTTCACCGGAGCAACTTGCTTCGAACGGAAGGAACATGAGATGTTTGAGCCACTTCCAGAGGCTGAAGAAGGCGATGTCCAGGCGCGTGTCACTCGAGGACTTTCGCAGCCAAAGCAGCCTACGGAATTGGAGCGTGCCGAACACTTACTTACGCACCTTCCGTTTCGTAGCTGGTGCACTCACTGCGTGCAGGCGAAGTCTCGCCAGAACCACTCGGCAAAACTTCGCACTAAGCAGCCTGTGTTGCAGATGGACTACAGCTTCATCGCGGACCCTTCAGGGAATCAGCTGACACTTCTCAATGTCCACGATGTACTGTCTGGACTTGGAATGTCATGTGTTGTCCCAAACAAGGGTTACTCCGTGTATGCCCGTGCTGAGCTTCGCCGGTTTGTCCTTGAGGCTGGTCGAACGTTCGGGGTACTTCAGTGTGACCCGGAACCGTCGCTCAAGGCTGTAGCTGAAGAGGTCACTTCGGACCTCGGCGGGCTTAGTCTGCGCACTTCTGCCGTAGAGTGGAAGCAGGCGCAAGGAGCTGTCGGCAACACGCAGCAACTTCTGTACGCTCAGATCCGAACGCTTCGTAAGGACTTGCAAGAGCGATACGGCCGTGAAATCGAGTTGACTTCGCCAATCATGACATGGTTGGTTCGACACTCGCAATGGCTTCTCAATCGCTACGCAATCCGAAGCGACGGATTGACTCCGTTTGAACGTCGTTGGTCGAGACGGTACACTTCTGCAATCTGTCGTTTTGGTGAGGTTGTTCTCTTCCGAGTCTCCGGGAGGGTGCCAAAGGCTGAGCTTGCCTGGCAGCCTGGTCTCTGGCTCGGTAGAGATACCACTTCTGATATGCACATCATCGGAACCACTTCTGGCGCGACGAAGACGCGCAGCGTGCGACGATTTCCATCGGAACAACAGGTGGACGTCGACATGCTCAAAGACTTCGTCGCAAAGCCTTGGGATCCGAGGGGCCGTTCCGAGGAGACAGATGACTTCGTTCTGCCTCCCGCGCCGGCTCCTGCAGCACTTCAGGACGGCAACGCCGACGACTCACTTCCCGTCATGCCTCACGCCACTGGCTCGAGAAAACGTGAGCCACCGGAAGCTGATGTGGAAGATGAGCAGGCTACCCAACTTCAAAGAGTTGGACCCGCTCCTGGAGACTTGAAGCGTGATGTGCCGGATGAACTTCCCGAAAGCCGATCCAAACTTCAACGAATCTCTGCGATCGTCGAAGATGACTTCGGCGAACATGTTCTTGATCATGCTTGCATATCTGCGATTACCACTAAGGACGGACTTGAGGTCCCGGTGTCTGTGAACGCAGACGAGGGCGAGAGGACTCAGGAACTTCGTGCCTTGCAGCCTTCTCTGTGGTACGAAACGGAGTTCCCTCGCAAGTGCAGGTATGGACAAAGAAATGAACAGTATGCGTGACTTCGGCGTGTACGAAGAGGTCAAGGTCGATGAACTTCCTCCTGAGAAAGTTGCTTCAGCCATAAGCACCAAATGGGTTAAGGGCTTTAAAGGCGACTCCGTGAGGTGCAGGCTGGTTGCAAGAGGTTTCGACCAGGTCTCGGACGCTGGTGACAACTTCGCGTCCACACCGTCGTTGGTTACGTTGAAACTTCTCTTGTTGCTTGCAATAACCAAGAACTGGTACATCCTCGCTGGAGATGTAAGCACTGCGTTTCTTCACGCGTTGATGACAGATGAGGTGTTCGTAATACCTCCAGGCGAATATTACCCGAAAGGCGGAGTCCTCTGGCGACTTCGTCGAGCCATGTATGGCCTCAAGAATGCGCCAAGGCTGTGGCAAGACCACTTCGCCAGCGTAATGGCTGACCTCGGGTTTGTTCGTCTGAAGACAGATCCGAATCTGTACTTCAACGCGAAGCATGGTGTTTACGCCTTGTGCTACGTGGATGACCTGCTTCTGTTTGGGGATGAGCTTCCGTGCAAGCACTTGTTCGAGGAACTTCAAAAGCGTGTTTTGCTTCGAAAAGAAGGAGTTCTGGACGTAGGTTCTTCTGTGAACTTCCTTGGTCGATGCATCACACGGCGTGCTGGGTCAATTGAGATCAGCACGCCCAGCACTTACATCGACAAAATGCTGTCTGAGCTTGACATGATGAAGTGTCGCGTCTCTACGACGCCTGGCACGGATTCACTTCGGAAGAAGATCGAATCAGAAGACTTGCTGACTTCCGACGAGCATCGGTTGTATCGGCGACTGATCGGTCAACTTCTGTGGCTTAGCAGCGTGCGTCCGGATATACAGTTCGCGACGAAGGAACTTTCGCGTGGACTTTCTCAGCCGACGCAAGATCACCTTCACAAGCTTAAGATGCTTCTTCGCTACCATTCAGGAACTAAGGAGGCTGTACTTCAACTGTGTCCTAAGGTGACTCTGCCTGCTAAGGTGACTTCTCTGGACCTCGACGTGTACGTCGACTCAGACTGGGCCGGTTGTGCACAGTCTAGACGCAGCACTTCAGGTGTAGCGCTGTACTTTCTAGGATCGTACGTCACTTCGATCAGCAGAACACAGCAAACCGTAGCACTTTCATCAGGCGAAGCTGAACTGTACGCGATCGGACTTGGAGTTTCCGAGGGACTTTTCGTACGGTCCCTTCTTCTTGAAGGAAACTTCTCCCAGAAGGCGAACTTCCGAGTTCACACTGACAGCACAGCAGGCAAATCCATGGCGTCCCGCTTTGGAGCTTCACGCAAGACCAAGCATGTGGAACTTCGTTTTCTGTATGTTCAGGAATTTGTTGCTTCTGGAACTGTTGTGTTGAAGAAAGTGGCTGGCACTTCCAATCCCGCTGATGTCATGACTAAGTATGTCAGCAGGGATACACTTCTGAGACACCTTGCGACTTTGGGAGTGACACTTCCATTTGGTCGCATGCTCTAGAGACTTGCATGAGTTTGAACTTCATCAGAAGTCGATGTTTTCACCTAGTCACTTTGCATTTGCACGGAAACCACTTCTAAGAAGTAGGACTTTTTGACCACGCTCCCCAAATAACTTTTGGTGAGTTTTCAACATGTACCCAGTAGAACGTTAGGACCATGGAACTTCAAATAGAGTTTGAACTTCGGTGGCCATTTTGCGCTTCCTTTTGCAAGCCCACCTTTCCGCCTGCCATGGACTGCAGTGCGGACTGACTTCCACTTTGCTCACTTCGAGTTTGAGTTTCTTTTCGTTGACTTCATGGCACAGGAGCACCCTCGTGTCAACTGCAGTGTTGATGACTTCATCTTCAGGTCGCATCGTGCTCCGGAAGACTTCCTTCAGAGTTACTGGTGGCGGAACCAGCAGACTTCACTGCCACTGAAGGACGGAAGATGTGCCACTCTGCAGAGCGCCTACTTCCGGCTCTTCATGATGTTGGTCGGGTGAGACTTCCTCCAGGGAACTTCTTGTACACCAACGGAGAAAGGCGAGTGTGCTCGACACTTCGGCCCGTGATGCATGCAAGCCCTCCGCAGAGACTTCATGCAGATCCTTGACTGTACGGACCGGTTCACTGGGTGGTACTTCCAAGGAGCCACTTCCCATTGGCTTTGAGCACTTCTGCAGACGCGGGAAGGTTTGCGCCGATGCTTCCCCCTCGGATCACTTCCGAGCAGTTCGAGTGGGGCAGCCGAATGGGAAATTTCAGTTTTAGCGCTCGGTCGGCACTTCTCTTCGCACTCTGGGGATTTCACATGAACAAGGAGATGGGAGTGAGACTTCAAAGCGAAAACGATGAGATCTTCCTGATCGGAGTCAAGCTGGAAGCTGACAGAGTCTGGAGCTCCCTCCAGACTTCACAGACACATTTCTGGAATCGGAACTATCTGGACTTCTTCCTCCATTTCACTCATTGGAACTTCACACCAGCTGAGGCATCAACTTCTGAGATCTTCACCTTGGGATTCACAGCTTCTGAGGCAGCTCACTTCATCTTCAGTGAGCTTCCTCACCGACAGGTTCAAGGCGGCTTCGGCAGGTACATGCACCTGGTACTTCAGTCTGACATAGCCCAGGGATTCATCCAGCACGGTGACATCCCGATGGATTCAGGCATGGCTATGAGACTTCGAGCACGGCTCTGAAGAGAGTGAGACTTCACTGACAGGAGTGAGAAGAACTTCAACGGGGAAACTTTTGGACTTACAACTTCATTCGGTTACCGCGTGATCAATTTGCAACTTCACTGGAATCACAGTTACAACATTCAGTACAACTCTGGCTATCTTCACTTCACTGTGAGTGGTCATGCACTTCACTGGATTGGGTACACACTTCAACTGGTTTCAAGATTTCACTGCAACTTCAAACACTGTATCAAGGCATTTCACTTCCTGTTGTGATCAGTGGACTTCCTGTCCAGGTACAGGTGACTTCGTGTCACACTTGCTTTAGAGGTAGATGCGGAAGGTTTTTAACTCACTTCATGCTCCCTCTCAATCCACCTTTTGGCTAATTAGTGTGAAGACCCACTTCATCAACTTCAGTGGACTTCAAGGGGCCGTGTCAAAGTATTGCATGCATGGCACACCCCATAATACTTCACCATGACACTTCGGTGCATGGCTCAAGTGCACAGAGGAAAATAGGGAGCTGCTAGGGTACTTCAGGGTTGAGTGTGGTCATACAGTAGGAGTGTTGTTTGCATCACTTCTGATCAACTTGGATTTTCTCACTTTCCTTTGTTTGCTCGCTTGCTTGCTTGCTTGCTTGCTTGCTTGCTTGCTTGCTTGCTTGCTTGCTTGCTTGCTTGCTTGCTTGCTTGCGTGCGTGCGTGCGTGCTTGCTTGCTTGCTTTGCTCGCTTGCGCGCTTGCTTGCTTGCTTGATTGTTTTTTGCTTGGTTGCTTGTTTATTTGGTTGTTTCTTTATTTTCGTTCTTTCTTTCTTTATTTATTTGTTTCTTGCTTTATTTCTTCATTTATTTATTTACTTCCTTATTTCGTTCTTTATTTCTTTCTTTTTTCTTTCTTTCTTTCTTTTTTGTCCTTTCTGTTTGTTTCTTTCTTTCTTGTCTTTCTTTCTTTCTTGCTTGCTTTGCTTTTGCTTTTTTTGGCAGGGGGGCTATATTTGGAGAGATTAATACATTTGTCATAAGATGCATTTGTCTGTGTAGAGAGAGAGAGAGAGAAAACAAAAAAACATTTGTGCGCCCTGTAAAAGGGATTCTTGTGTGTGTGTGTGTGTGTCTGTGCCATCCAAGCCTCCAAGTGAGTGTGTCTTTGTTCAGAATACCCCACATGTGGGGAGGGGGTTTGGTTCACAAACCGAGCTGATGGATCACGCGCCTTGGGCTTCCCATCCTGCGGGGCGCGGCGACGCGGCTTCGGCGACTTTCAGCTGAGCACCCCTCTAACTTAGTCTTCTTGATGGACATGGGCCAAACTTTGAGGTAACGGAAAACGCATCAAGGCGCATCTGTCGGTCCTTTGCGAGGATCTTGTGATCCATCTTCACCAGGGCCTCCGCCCGGCAGCTCACTGGGGCATCCAGGCTTCATCCATTTTCTGGTGGCGGATGTTTTGGTATGTTTGTTGTGCCGTATGCCACAATGCTTTGGCCTTTACGAACATCTACACCATCTGCAATTCATATCCTCTGATTGGTGGCTTAAAGAGAACTTCCGGCGCCCGCAAGTTCGGTTTTGAACGGGCCAATCGAAATGCAAGACCCATCGCAACTCTCGCGCCTCCTCTCTGTCTGGCGACCTCGGGAATGGCAAGACCCACAGCTTGGCCCAGGTGCCAAAAGGGACAGGACTTGGCCACTTGCAACTTGGGAAATGAGCCGAAAGAATATGCCGAGGGTCGGCTCAAAGGCACGGAGGAGCCACGGAAAACCGGATCATGAGACACTGGCTCCGGAGAAAGGCTCGGGACGGGCCTTTGACCCCATGGAGTAAAAAATTACAGCTCGGGTCGGGGGTCAAGAAGGAAAAAAAGAGTAGGTTCTGCGGTCTCGGTGGCTGGGCGGCCTTTTTAAAACATCTAGAAGGCGAATTGACATGGAACCCAAAAAGGAAGTCCAAAAACCCCAAAAGGAGATTCAATCTTCCAGAACGATGGCTTTCTGGGTTTCATACTTGTCTAAGAAGTAAGCCAGCTGCTTGAGGGCGTGTTTGCCACCAAGTCATGGTATTCCATTTCAGCGTCAGCAGCTAAGGCAGGCGCGCCGCTTTGCTAACGGCTTGGGCCAACCTCCGCGCGGGTGGCACGGGCGCCGCCGAAATTCGTGGCCTCTTTTAGTGACTGGAATGAGTGCAAAAAATTACACCGGAAAATCCCACTACCACACCCAGAGTCATCTTGCACCAACAATCGCACTGGAACAACCCCAAGCAGCGTTAACCCCGGTTTGAGAGAGGGAAAAATACAAAAACACCTCAAGGGCATCTGATGAGCTTCATGCCCCGGGTTCTGAGCTTGGCAACCGAAGGGCGCTTTACCCATTGAGCCCGGGTGCGCGGCATCTGCGACGGCCGCATTCGCTGGATGTGCCTCGGCAGCCTGGGAATTTGCAAAGCGAATCGTTCGGTCCGAGTCGAGTCGAGGCGAGGTCCGCTCAAAACGAGACCTCTGAATTTCCTTCCCTGAAGTGGCCTTGTCGAAACTTGGCATGTGTTCTTGGTTCAAAGGCCAGAGAAAACCGGCAGGGGATGTCAATGTAATCATCTGGGGCTTGGTAGGGTTGCAAAGTTCATCCCAGGAAACGGACAACAACCGGACCCATTCAACCAATTGTTTTACACCAAGGTGGTTTGGTCGTGGCTTTGAGGTTCCGAGCAACCCTGATCCTTCCTTGCGTCTGCCTGAAAACGGGACGAACAACTGCTGAACAGCCGGTCTATTTTCGTAAGACACATGGGAAGCCGACGGCGCCGAAAATCAATGTTGAGCCCTCAAAATGACACCACTTGGTCTTGAATTTGAATCGGTAGCCACCTTTAAAACGGCTGGTGGATCACTTTATCCCCCCCTCCTAATGATGTCCACCAAAGGGTCTGCTCCGGATAGCATGGGTGCTTCTCACAATAGGGGGGTCCACTGGATGTCTGTTTCTCTTGATATTCAATTCATACAAACAAATGGAAACCAATAACAATCATACCATTTTTGGTCTACTGGATTACTTCTTGTACTTCTTTGCTCAAACCGGAAACCACCAGCGGAGCGAGCGGAGGGGGTCCCCCCATCAGCTCGGCCTCTTTGGAGGCAGCGGCCTCAAGCTGCCGGGCCTCGGCTTACGGCACGAGGCACGAGCCCGGCTTCGGCTTCGCGGCTTCGCGGCTTCGGTGCGCATATGCCCCAAGTGCGCAAATGATGATCGGATGCTTGAGAATTGCAGATTCGAGTGCTAGCGGTCCGTCTCAGCCAATGCCAAACCAATACTAGTGCTAGAGTTACCTACTGTAGTCATTGTAGAAATGTGTAGAAACTTGAATCAACTATTGCCCAGCACTCATCTTTTACTTTTGAAAAGATGGTTCTTTTGTATATTGCCTTCTATAGTTGGCCTTAGTTCTTCCTCAACCGGATGGACGACCTCGCTGGGGCCTTGTGCTCCCGCGGCATTGTGGCGACCTGTGCAAAGCTTCCCGGGGCTTGGGGATTTTCTGAATGGGCATCTCCAAAAAACTTCGGGGGGGGGTACCTACCAGCTCTTTTTGGTGTCCTAAAACCCCGAAAAGGCGAAGGTGACCCAACCACGCAACTAGACATACTGGACGAAAGAATAGCGCAAAAGCCCCAGGGTGTTCTACGGAAAGCTCAGCTTGGCCGGTTTCTGCGGCTGTCGCGCAGTCAAAGTCCAGACGTGGTTCTTTCCTAATGAAGCTACCACTTGCAAGTTATCATGGAATCCCTAAGGGGAGTAGGTACAAGGAAGGGTGGTTCAGAGCGCTAGGATTCCTTAGAGTTTTTTAGCGTTGGCTAGGGGTTCTTTAAGGTTCCTTAGGGAGCCTTGGGGAACCCCCACCTTGGACCACTCTTTCTTAGGGACTCCACAAAGTTGCATTGATAATTGCAAATGAATGGAGCCGGTATTGCAGAGCGGGGGAAAAGGGGATGCGTATAGATTCGACCAAGCCCAGGATTGCCGGAAAGTGGGACGTAGACACCTATGGCTTCTTCTTTCAAAGGTCCCTTTTGGGACACCAAAAGGAAGCCCCGCTCCATATCGTCTGTTGCTTCAAGTTTGATCCGAATGCTTGGGATGGACGCCATGATGCGCCTGCGCGTCGCTCGAGTGACCTGCGATGGCCGAAAGGCGACCCTCGCTCCCGAAGGTCCACAATCCAAACGTCTGGTGCAAGGAATTACAACTCACCAACTGGAAATCAGGAATCCCCAAGTAAGCATTGAAGGACTTTCATCATTTCTGAACTCATCTTGGCCCCCGATCCCAAGAAGTATGGATTGTGCCAAGTTAGGCTGTTGTACTGAGATGAGGACTCCCCAGATAAGAAGCCTTGATCTCTTTCCCTCTGTCTCTCGCTCTCGCGCGACCGTCGAACGGAGTGCATCCAAGCCGAGCAAGCAGTACAAAAAGACAAAGCCTTGATCGTGGGTGTTTAGTTGCGCAGCAAGTTGGCGATTGACTTTGCCCAGAAATCGCACAAAGGGTTTGTCTCAAATGGTGGAGCCACCAGAATGAGCTCCCTTCGTAGCAACCCCCAAACAGAACGTGGGCCTCAAAAAAAGGCCACCACAAATCTGGGGGTCCAAACAAAAAAGCTATGTGGATCAATGCTGAACCCTTTGTGTTGATTGTTTTAAGGCAACCCTCATCTTTCTAGCTGTACTTCCCGGAAAATGTCAGCCAAGACCCGATAAAAGGGGGCTTAGAGTAGCTTCTCAAATCCGCGATGGGTGAAGACAATGGAGGATCAACCTTTAAAATCTTCCCCCCTTTCCCCTTTTCCCTTGAACCCCAGGCAGCCCTAAGGAACCAGAACCCATCAGACCCGAATGGGAAACCCTAGGGACCCCAACCCGTGCCTGCGTGCTTGTCGTCCTCCAAATCCTCACTCCATGCCGCCTGATCCACGCCGGGAAGCAACGAGCAGTTGGTTCTACCCACATGGCTATACCCCCTATGAAGACAGATAGAACCACCTACTAAGATGGCGGTCTTTTGTCGGGGATGCCCCCTTTTTTGGGGGGGCTTGCGCAAAAAAAAGAAGAAGCCTTGTTGCGCATGCCTTTTGACGGGGGTTGCCACGCTGCTGGGCCTCAACCGAAAGCACCACCAATTCTTGGATGTTCCCACCTAGTGACTTGTATTGTTTTCCTGGCTTATTTTAGTGGATCCTGAATTAGTTGCCAGCCGTCCCGCACGCCTCGGACTCGTCGTTCACGTCCTCCAGCCGCAGAATCTCCGGCATGTCGGCGCAGATCTTGCGGACCCGTGGACGGGGTGGCTGAGGTCAATGCCAAGCGGTAGAGGACGAAAGCAAGAAACCTCTCGCCTATCCAAAATCCGCCCTGCGTTCGGATTTGCTTTAGACCATCCCCACAAACCTTCGGTGTACCTGTTGCCCGCGACCGCCCAGAAGCGGGTCTCCGAGACCTCACCCCAGCTCCATGCTCCATACCCCTTTCATGGAGCGCGGCGACTTTTTTCTGGTTATATACTGCTATCATCAACACAACCCTAAACCAGAACCAGAAAAGCCAGCCTCGGATGCACCAGACAGCCAGCTCCAAGCAAACCTAAACCCTAGAAACCTTACACCTAACCATAAAAAAGAACCTAAACCCTAAAAACAATAGACCTAAACCCTAAACACCCTAAACCTAAACCCTAAAAATCCTGAACCTAAACCGACACGTATGTTTTGTGGGTAACTTTCATTCGGAACTCAGCTGAGTAGATGCCCAAACATATTTTTCTGAGCGGCGCCCAAACGCCTTTTGACCTTTGGTTCTACCAACACGTATAGGCCCCATGAAGCCACGTAGAAGCCCACTATGGCTGGGGTCAAAGCAGGGTGCTCACAACAAGAGAATCACACTTGGCGCGTTGTGCAGCACATGACCCCTGGCCTTCACTTAGGCTCATTTCGCCTGCAAAACACCTTTCCCATGCCCCTTGGAGGTCCATGATGCAAAGGTCGCATTGATGGCGGTTGTGGTCGCCATAGTGCTGCTGTAGTGCGATAGTGCTACAGTTGCCTTTTAGCATGGTGTGTGTGTGTGTGAGGTCTTGATTTGATTGTAGGTTCGTCTTGCCAAAGGTTTCTTCAGCTTCCCAAGTTTCATGGGCATAGGGTTTCTCCCTACAAGAAAGGGCATGGGGCCCTGCCCAAGAGGTATTAGCGAATGATGCAATGCCAAGATGCTCTGTCAACTGCACACGACACACTCCCCCCATCCACAGCTTTCATGGGATATACAACCACTGTGTATACATACATATATATATATATAATGTATACACGAGACAAGGGATACATACCGTATTACGTACCCGTAGTGGCTTGGCAGTGTGGAACAATCTTCCACGATCCGATTTCTTCCTTCCCGAAGTCGGGCCTGCATGTGCGCAGGGCTAAAAGGCCGAGACTCCCGCGGGCCCATCTTGAAGGAGCCTGGGGGTTGGTTGGCCTCACACAAGTTCGCGCACGTCGCTGGGGGGGGGGGGGAACGCGCTTGCCGAAAGTGATACCTATGGCCCTGTTTGACGATATTTTGGGGGGCAAAGCATGCCACGCAAACAGTGACGACATAGGGGGAGAGTGTTGGAACTGCCCACGGTGGATCTCAACATCTTCCCTGCAGCTGACCGAAAGACACCAATGGGTATACTAATATCTTGATGCCCACATACCACCGGCCTTCGCGTAGTCGATCCACAAAACAGCATCTACCTGGGCCAGGTGGTCCAGGGCTGAGTGAGCTCTGGACTGTCCAGGATTCCAGGGGCCAAAGCGGGGAGCCCTCTGCCTTCGGAATTCCAGAACTGAGCTTGGCCAAGGCTCAGGATCCTCCTGCCTTTTGTGGCGTATTTAGTGAGTCCCCTCTGTCCCCCTCAAAAGAAGCATACACTACTGCATATTTTGACCGAAGCTCAGTTTATTCCCTTGGCAAAAAACCACTCAAAAACAGTCCCCCGGGTTCCGGGTATTTTCAGAACCCCAAAAGGCGCTGTTTAAGCGAAAGGGAAACATCCCCAGACCCGTGGCCATGGGAAAAACAAACAAAAAACACGCCACTGGTTCATGTCCACAAACCCACAAGCCCGGCGGGCACTGCTGCTGGTCAGGTCTGGAGGTCTGGGCGCCGGGCGTTGCCGAACATGGCCCAGCGCCGGATCCGGTCGATCAGGCCCTGGGCGCGAAACCAGAATTTGGTTGCCTGGCTGTGGGGGAAACTTGGGTGGACTCAACTGGGAAATTTGGGTGGACTCAACTAAAATCTCAAAGACCCCAGTGGCAAAATGGGTCATGGTTCGAAGGGTTCAAAGGTTGCAGGTCGAATCCAAGAATCGAGCCGTAGGGACCCCTGCTTGGCTCATTCTGGAAATGAAGCCAACAGAGAAACCAAAGGACATGAGAGTCACATGGAAGGGGAATGAGAGGAAGACGGGGAAATGAAGGGAAACGGAGAGAAATGACGGGAAACGGAGAGAAATGAAGGGAAATGAAGGAGGGGAAATGAAAAAGGGAAATGAAGATAAATGAAAGGGAAATGAAGGGGAATGAAGAGCACTGAGGGGGAAATGCAGGGAAATTAGGCCAGATGAAGGGGAAATGAAAGGGAAACGAAGGGGAAATGGGACGGGGAGATGAAGGGAAAATGAAAGGGACATGAAAGAGAAGTGAAGGGGAAATAAAGGAGGGGAAACGAGAGGAAATAAAGAGCAAAAAAGGGAAATGAAGGGGAAATGAGCGGCACGCGAAGGGGACATGCATGGGAGATGCAATATCGGTGGACTGAGCTGGAGGCTCTAAAGTTTTGATGTCCACCAAAGGGTGCCCAATATAGCTTCATGCACTGCCACCGTTCCAGGGGTTAAAGCCTGCTTTCGACCACCTGAACCCATTCCAGTCCTCGTGCTCGCGACGGGTGCGGTACTGATGGGTCAGGGTGTTCATGTACCTCGGTCGCAGGCGCGCCAAAAGCCCCAAAAGAACCAGCCCAAGCGACAATACTGGGCTGCCCTCGGATCCCCCGCTAAAAGTTTCACCTTTAGCGGGTTGAATGGAAACTACCGCTAAAGACTAAAAGTTGCTCAAAAGCTAAGGAACCGGATGGCTAGCCACGGCTTCGAGGCTCGGGATGGAGACACAAACGCGGCTCTTCCGAATTCCGATCGAAATACCAGGGTATCAGTCTGGGTCAAAGGGACGCACCCAGACCCCAGTGAATTTCCGGGAAGAACGCCGTCCTTTGGTTGAGTTCAACCGCGGCCTCCAAAACAAAATGGCAAAAAAGGGCACTCGGTGTCTGGGCGCCCTTGGCGACTGTGACTTCTCTTATTCTGTGAACTGAGCAACTGGCCCTATGTACTCCTGGTACGGGAAGCCGAAGCATCTCCGCAGGTTCTTGATGGCGCTATTCAGGTCCTCCATTCAATGGTTGGAAAACCTGAACAAGGGTCATGTTTCGCATCAGCTTTTGCCTCATTTGGCAATGAACTTAAAAACGGGCAGCCGCCAAAATGTGGTGGGCATGCCTGCCCATGGGGTGTCAGACCCATTTGCCGGGTGTGTAGGGGCGAACGACAGCAGCGCCGTGTCAATCGCCCTCCCCAGAGCAACTGCCGCCGGGATATGTTGCGCTTCTCAGGATCGCTCTGGAAAACCCGACTCTGGTGTTGACACAAGCGGTCCGTTGACAACCCTCCCGCAATGGAAAGTACCCCCAAAAACACAGAGAGCCGCAAAAAGACGATTTGGGCTGGGACCAGCCCCTAATCCGAACTGGAGGGAGTTTTTGCTTGGTTGAAGGAACTGCCACTAGGATTCTGCACTTAGCATCACTCCCAAATGCTAGCTGTTACACATGTTGCATGTTGTTGACATGCCCTGGGAACCACCACCCTGGTGGCCCCAATCATGTTCCTAATGGAACATGAACAAACCTAGTTTTGACTCATGGTGCTAAAGGGAAACCAGAAGGAAACCGTTGCCATGAGGGTTGGACCAGAAATTTCAAATCAAGCCCAAAAGGGGGAGGAAACATCAGTTTCAGGGAATAAAGGGGGGGAGGTCCCTTTGGGTGGACCCCTTTTAAGGAAACCAACTACATGGAGGAGTCCCCTTGACTTGAGCAACACCCTTTATTGTCCCGACAAACAGAGTCAAAACGCCCAGAAGAAAAAGAAGAAAAAAAAGAACAAAAACAATACCTCCACTCCATCGACGAGAAAATGTTCAGCTGGGAACTTGAAACCCTGGTAGAAAAAAACACTGGAACCAGTTTCTTCTCGGGTTCAACCTCTTCCTTTTAGTGAAAAACCCACCAAACCAAAAAAAAGAAAGAACGAGTTCGTTGACTCGACGAATTGGCACCTCCTTTTCTCGTGGGCTCAGGGCCTTTCGGCCACCCACATGGCTCCCGTCCTCGAAGGCGCTCAGCGCGTACCGCACCGTGAGGTCTGGGTCGTGGGCCTGCGGCCGCCGACGGATGCCGAAGTCGCTGCAGTTCGTGTGGTTGCGTGGCAGAAAAAGGAAGCAACTTATTAAGCAAAAAGACTGGCTCCAAAGAGTTTTGGGCCTTGAGCTTCGAAAACCGCGCGAGCCAAAGATTCAGACCCCCTCCGCTTGCTTGCTGAGCGCTCGTAAACGTGGTTGGGATTGTCCCTGCTTGTTCGGCTCCCACGCACAAGGCAAGGGGTGCCAAAAGACTCAGATGTTTGGCTCCGGACTAACACCCCGTGTGCCCACATCAGCTGCACGTTCATTCAGCGTTTCGCCCCAGACCATCTGAAGTTGCTCCAAAATAGTGGGTGCCTACGGCAAACATGTCTTGTGTCATTTCCTTTAAAATAAAGGAAACTCATATATATATATATATATATTTATTTATTTATTTATATATATATATATGTATGTATTGTGTCCTTTCCTTAGAAAAACGAAGATCTGCATCCCATATTGAGAACCTCCCAGTCACGGGGCTTCCCCACCGCGGCGCTATGGCCCCGCGCCTTGGCCTCCTCCATGGTGCTGAGGAACGGCGGCAAGACCTGAGCGTCGCGGGGCGCTCGGGGGGTGGGAAACTGGAGCCCATGGGAAGCTGGGGAACCGGAGAAAGAGGGTAGACCCCACCCCCAACGCCGAAGCAGCGGACCGGTTCATGTCACGATGTGAGACACGACCAAACGCGCAAGGCACTATTGCCCCAACGCGAGGCTGCAAGCAGTGCTACACCTTAGACGAGCATCGCTGCAACTGCGGTGGCTCAGTGGCCTCCGCCTTCTATAGATGCTTGAACGTGGCTGCAACAGCGCCCCAAAGTGCGCATTTCTCGGTGGCGAAAGTAAACGCCAAAGCAGAACAGCCAGCCAGCCTCACAGCAGGTTACAGAGAAGGCGCTACAGGAGGGGCAATCTTATCACCACAAGCACCGGCCACTGGCTTGGCCAAAGGACGAGTGGGATTACAATTTAGGCGCCCACAAGCACTTGCATAGCAGACTTGCTCTAGCTGTCAACCCCGTCCGCATGACGGGCAAATGAAAACTGGAAGGTGTGTGTGTGTGTAGGTGAGGCCCCTGGGTCTCGGCATTTGGCTGAAAGCTGCATCGCAGAGCACTGCAGCGAAGAAGTGCTTCATCCCATCCACTATGCAAACCACTGGATTACCCAAGTGCAGTCCAGAAATGCATGGGGAATTGAAGTTCCAAGTGTGGGATCAGCTCAAATTGCCCCTGCGATCTCCTTTTGCCAGCATTCCCAAGTAAGGGACCTTCATTGTGGCTGAGGGGGTTGCCCACTTCGCATGTTACAAGGGAAACGCAATCGTGTGCTTTGGGGATGGGGGTTGTCCATGCCAGCGCAATGCAACCTTCAACTTCCTCGCAACTCCCGGCTCTTCAAAACTCGGCCCGGCCCCTTGGGCATTGCTTCAATAGCCGTGAAAAACCGGGAATCGACCCTCATGAAGAAGGTGTGAAGCTATGGTCCAAGTCTTGTCTTTGCGGGACTCCGTTTGGTGCTTTCAAACCGCAAGCTAAAGCAGGAATCTGCTCTTTGGGGCCCCTTGTAGGAAAGACCCGCATACCCGCTTGAGTCACTATCAAGAAATTGAAGGGATCCACCAAGAAGGTGAAGAATCGAAAGCGTCTTCTTTGTGGTGACCGAGTGACTGTCCCCCAACCTTCATCTACCCAGCAGTTGTCTCGAAACTGCTTACCCACGAAGTGGGTGGCTTCCCCGGTAACTGTCTCTTAGCACGGGAAAAAGGAGCTGGCGATGGCCCATCCTGACGAAACTGGGTTTCAAAGTACCCCTTGTGTTCACCCCAAACCTACCCTCGTCCTGGGGAATTGCCTAGTCTGGCCGTTCCTTGAGGGAATTTCGAAACTCCAAACCAGCACCTCCCAGTCCCATTCCATGGGAGGACACCCTCAAAAAATGAAACCAAGTTCCAATTGCTTTGGAACCCGTTCGGTAGAAAAGAATTGGTTTCAAGGGAAACTGAACAACTGGAAGCTTTTCGGGGTGCTCCAGCCTTGCTCTCGCTCTCTCTGTCTCTTGCACTCGGCCCACCGCCGGGCCGCCCTCCAGCCATCTGGTCCTGACCTGCCGGAGGAAAGACCTACATTGTGGTTTCTCAAAGTATGTCTCAAAATTAGGGAGCCCCCAACATGCGTGGTTGCGCTTTAGAACACAAACGAGAAGGTTCGCCACACAACACGGAACTCCGAAATCGGCTGGTGTCCTTTGTGATGTCCGTTTGCTTCCCCACCAAACAATAGAAACAAACGTGAAAATAAAAACAACCTTGTTTGTTGGCTCTCCACAAAAAGGCAGACCCCAATAAATGGTTAGTGTCCTTTGGGTTTCCTGTTGGTTTCCCTTGCGCTCGTGTATACCCTGGATTGCAAGGGCGTTGAGAGATTTCACCGTGGGAAACGGCCGTTGTTTGTTCTCTTGAGAGAAAGTGACAGCCTATGGCGGACCTTTTTACGTGGTAATCGCTTTCCGGACCACTCAGTGGCTCCCTTCCGCCCGTTCGGCCCAGGGGTTTGGTCAGAAGGCCTTGATCAGCTCGCGAGGCTGGATGTAAAAGAGTGAGGCAGGACCTCACAAAAGAACGGCCACTGGCCGTTTGCTCCTTGATTCAATCCGGGACGCGCAAACAAACATCTAGCCATAGCTGCATACTGTACCATCATTCTGAAACCTGCAATAAGAATGGGATCCCCAAGTAACGGACCTTCGTGGTGAGAAAGTGATTCGGATGTCCTGTGACATTAGACATCCCTTCATCCTTAAGTACCTTTGCTTTACCCCAGAAGTCTCCCTTGATTGCCAAGGGAAGCAAAAGGAATTTGGAGACGGGGAGCATGGAGGCCGGAAACGGCTGATGTTCGTTATGGGACCCGGTATGGTGTCATTTTGTGTCGCCTTGAAGAGGAGTCTCAAAAAATTGGTCACCTGGTTGCCTGCCACGAATGTGAGCCTGCGAGCCCTAGTCAATGTTCGCTATTGCCACCCTGACTGAAATGTTCAAACCGGCAGATCAAACCCTCCCATTCCCTGGTCATCCATTCCTTTGTTGGGATTCTATCATCCCTTGCTGCCCCGTGGTGATCATTTGGGTTCCAGAACCGACTCCTTGCCCTGATCCTTGAGCTCCAGACCCCACTCCAGAAGAGCGATATTACGCATCCAGGACCTCGGCAGGAAGAACAACTGCCACGAGGCATGCCCGACACGGAAGTGATGCAACTTGCTCTCGGTCCAGTGAAGCGTCCGCAACAATATTCGTTAAATACCGCCTCCCAACAGCAATGTTTCAGATCACCTCAACATGTGACTTCAGGGACCTAGGTTTTCTTGTCCATTCGCAAGAAATCTCGCGCGTAAGGCCTGGGCGACGTGCACACAGCTCATCCACAACATGGAAAGCAATGGACAAGGGCCAAGCTAGTACAACACCATTGTGGATGTAAAAACCTCTGCTCTGCTTGCCACGGGCTGTGTTCTCATGTTCATGGCAAGACTGGTTTCATAAAGCCTCAGCGGGAACGGGCAGCGAGCCAAGCATGAACGACGAGAAACATGCAACATGGCTTTGTGTGTCGAAGTGAAGCTATTGGCGTGCTGCCTTTCTCATTTGCACGTGGATTTTCCAAAAACAGTCACCAAGCTGTTGGTTTACCCCTAAAATGCCCCAACCCCAAGTCCAGGAAATCATATATGAAAGTGAGCTTCCCTTCCAAACCGTCCATCTTTTCTCTGTTGGGGGAGTGCATTTTGGTGCAGAGATCCAAAGCGTTCGCAGGTCCTGGCACACCCAGCGCGCTGGACCTGACCACCGATTCAGCCGGCCGACTCGGCCGACTTGCGAGTGCACCTGGTGCCTGGTTGGCAAAAAGGACAGCGCAAAAAGCACAAGGCAAGTCTGGGAAAACACCACCGGCTCATTCCCAATCGTAGTTTGGATAGGATAACCAGCAGGTTCCCAAGGTCTTACCTCCCCCGTTTCTCTCAGCTGCCCAAAGGGCCTGGAAACAACTTGGTCCAAGTTGGATGCCTTGCTTGTGCCAAAATGGACATAGCTCCGTCGGTTTGAAAGGGGAACCAGCATGAATATTCCGGTTGACACAAGCGGCACGAGTACCATGCAAACCATGCCCCGGAGAAGCCTGACCCAAGGGCGCTCACCATTCTTGAGACCCAAAAACAGCCGGGACCCTCCAACAACCATGAAAGTGCACAGAAGCCCTTTCCCAAAGGGAAGGTGGTCTACTTCCAGGAGTGTATGCACTTTCATGGTTGTTGGTGCGAAGCATGCAAGCCTTTTCCAACCTGGCCGCGAGGCGTTTTGCCATCCCGAAAACGGCGCCGGAATGGGATGCAGAGAAAGGAAAATTCACTTCAATGCGATTCACACAATACCCGACAATGCTAATAGAAACCGATCAGGGACTGCCCAAAGCCGATATCCATCAACCTGCAAAAAGTAATAAGGGCCCACCAGCCCCCCTTACTCTGGCAACATGGTCCGTTGCTCCCATGGCAAGTCGGAGCGCATCCAAACAACGGCCGTCAATGCCTTGGGAGATGCTCCGCACCAGCCCAGAGGGGACGCGCGTATCCACACGGGCGAAGACGCAACAGAAGACTATCATAATGTCGCAAGTCGGTTTCTAGCCAGCAGCTGGACCTAAAAAGGAACACCATGCCCTGTCAAAACCTGCAGAATGATTCATTGGCCCCCTTGCATGGCGAGTTCACCACATCCGTCTTTTGCAGCTGCGCTGGACATGGAAACCGATACCTGCAATTGAGCCGACCGTGTTGAGCGACTCGTTGCATGGTTGCGGAAAATAACCTCTTCTGTCATACCTTTTTGTGGGCCATCCCCGGATAACTGTTTTATCACGGCAAACGATTTGCCACAGCCACAACTCGTTTGGATTGAAACGTGGCAGAGCACAAGCCAACTCCTGGGGGCAACTGCCAGGCGCCACAAGCTGCCAACCCGGCAGTCAGAAGAAGGATGTAACCATGGGTCTCTGTATGTCTATTTAAATCCATGCACGATTGTCCAGAGACAACCCCCCCCCCCCCACTGTATTTTCTTCAGCCAAAACCAGGAGTATTCCCCAGGTCAGTCTCTAAATCCGGCACTGCTGCTGCCACTCAGCTTCACCATCCGCCTTCCGTCCGCCTTTTCCGCCGGATATTTCGACCGGACGCCTGCCACACCAGTCGTTGAGAGAGAGACCTGGTCCTAGCCCTCATGGTGGTGAGTTGTCGTCAGGCAGGTTGCTTTTCTTGGGGAAGACCAGTCTTCTTGGATTCAAAATGTGTTTGTGTTTGTTTTCACTGCCTGGGTTGTCTAATCTCGTTTATGGGTTCTTCATTGTTCATGGTTGGCCAAGCCGTACATTCCCACACAAAACCAAGGTGCCATCCTTACCGACTCGGTGGAGCTGGGCCACATTGTGATTGAAAGCCATCTTTGAATTCACGGATCAATCAAAGGTAGCTCACCTTTCGAGAGCATGGCCGATTTGGGGGGAGGGGTCTATTCAACCGCTTCATGTCCACTGTCGCTGACAGAAACCAGAACAACTGAAGACAAGTTTCACTCTTCGAACATCCCGGTTTTTTGTAAGGCATCATATGGCCTCGTTCCCATGTCCCAGTTGCTTCAACTTAGAATATATGTGTTTTCATCATATCGGAGAAGACTGGGAAGGTGGGGCGGGGCTGGCAAGCCAGTTTCCCTTAGAAGGGACCCCTTTAATCCTGCCCTGCCCTGCAGCACGTGATTGAAGTATGGCCCCTTTTAGTACTCAAGCGGCAAAGCTCGTGTAGCCAAGCCTGACACGTGGCAGAGTGTGGGGCCGTGGTACTGCCCGGGCGTAGGGAGCAGGCAAGGGTTCAAGGCTAGCGTCTAGGTTTAGGGTTCGGGCTTTATGGTTCAGGCTTTGGGCTCAGGGTTGGGGTTTAGGTTTAGGATAGGTTTAAGGTTCAGGGGCTGGGTTTAAGTTTAGGCTTCAGGTGCAGGGGTTAGGTATAGAGTTTAAGTTTCAGGTTCAGGTTTAGGGCTTAGGTTTAGGTTCAGGCTTTAGGTTTAGGGTGTAGGTTTAGGGTTCGGACGTTGGTTGGGGGCGCCGGCAACCCACAGGAGCCTGCCGTATTTGTAGGATGGGTTTATCAATCCGGTGCGCACGTATACTAAGAGGGCTTCTAGCGAACCTCTTCGTAGGGCATCTGGGTTCTGACACACATGACGCGCTGTTTTGCTTGTCCTCAAAGGGCGGCCAACGAACAAGGATGACTCTTGTCAAATGCTGTTTAAAAGCTATAGATAGGGATGCCATGGGAAGGGCTGCAAGGGCTCCCCTTGCAATCGCTCCGAATCAAAGTATGATCTTGGGCTTCGTAGGTGGATAACAATAACTTGGTTCCAAGCCGCTTTCTGCAGGCCACCAACTTCAAACGAAACCGGAATCCAAACGAGGAAGGTGCTCTTCTGAGATCCTGAATCCGAGCAATGGCAGGAAGAAAACCAAAGGTTCCAAAGGGAAACCAAAAAGCCAACCACCCTTAGGTAGGCCAAAAAGAAACACCCATTTGGGCGGATCCACTTATGAGACAAACCATCCGAGCAACCCGCGCCTTAGGCTTCCTCCTCCTGGGCATGCAGGAGGAAACAAACCCCTCCTGACCTGTTCAGTTTCCCTTTCAGGAAATCGGATTCGTTGGGGCTTGGGGTCTCTTGATACAAGAAGGCCAGCTGCTTTTTGGGCCAAAGTGTCAAATGAAAACTAGGTGCTCCAAACAGTTCGCTTTGACTGTGCCCTTTTGAAATGAACTGGCTGCAGGGGTCCTTGATACATTTGGAACATGTTGCTGTCCCGCAGCCTCGTTGAGGGCAAGGCACGTTTGAACGTCCCCGGTTGGCGCGTCCACTTCACACTGCGATTGGTATGCTCTGTGGCTGTGAATCGCAACATGGTTGTTGTTTTTTTCGGCCTTCCTTGGACGTCCCCAAAAAGATATACCCAGCTTTCCTGCTGGGGCTGATTCTCCTGGGTTTGAGTCATCCTTAGGCAGTACGAATCAGAACACTGATCCTGTTGTCAACCAAACTTCTAACCGTACCTTCCCTATCCGCTTCCGGGATCCTTCCCCTCCAAAATTGATCAATATCTTGTGAAGTTTTGGGGAATCAACAAGGTCCCCTGTGTATGTGTATATATATATATATATACATCCCCTTTAATATCACCCCACCCAAAGAAACTTACTGTGGATGGCCCCAAAAGCTGGTGTTCAAATCATCCACAAAGAAAAATACGGGACCCTTGTCAACCAAAAGAAAACTGAGTTCGGAAAGGACACTTGTGAAGATCTCTCCTCGTCTTCCAGGAGTTCGCAGTCCATCCACCACCTCAGTCTTCAGTCCCATCTCATTTATCAGGCTTGGGTTTCTATTTGAGGGTACGCTTTCCATTTCAGGTTGGCTAGAACCGAAATCCATTTTGGTGTCCAAATCCCTATGTTGTTGGACACCCTTTGTCCTTGGCAACTCCGTTCGCGCAACTGAGATGCCAGCACACTCCCCATCAGGTGCTCTCCGAAGATGTTCGCCGGAACCACCCCCTTGGCCTGCATCCGATCGAATGACGAAAACTCCCGCGACGGTCCTGATGATTGTCCAACATCCTCATTGACCACGTTGCGCTGCTGTGCTGAGAAGCTTAAAGGAGCTAAACATGTACATGAAAACAAGCAAACAAAGAAACAAAGAAACACAAGGACACTCTGCCAAGGTGTGTTGGTTTGTTTGTTTGTTTGTGCGTGCGTGCATGGGTCTGTGGGCGTATGTGTGTTTGTGTGTGTGTGTGCTTGTTTCTGCTCACTCCGCCACTAACGGCGCGGAGCATTTTGCACATTTTTATATGAACGCCTCCCAGCGCACTACACGTTGTTCCGGCCTGGCGGGGTGGGGTGGGGTGGGGTAATAACGTACGGGGCACATCTTGCTTACGACTGGCCCGCCGAAGGCCCCAAGACGACACACACTTCAGTTCTGCGAGCCATAGCTCGCTGTTTGCCAAGAATTTGCCTAGGCCTCAGGATCGAAAGGTTGGAAAATCGTGCAGAGGTGGCTGCCACCTTGTGTCATGCTAAGAAAACATGTTGGCTGAATCCCGAGCTGTGGCAATACTTGTGCAATTTCCAATGGTGGTGCAACACGCGTGATCGCTTGTGGAATGCAATGTCGCAGTTGTTTCACGTCCAGAAATCCTGATTGGGCGTTTGCCAGGGTTGTGGATTCCTCCGCGCCGTTAGTGGCGGCGTGACCTTGTTTGTGAGTGTGTTGCTGTGTGTTGGTGCGCGTTCGTTTTTTGGAAGGCACCCATTTCGAGGGAGACCACCATTGTCGGGGAACGACTGTTGGGGTAGCCCTCTTTGTGTCACCTGCCAGCTTTTGCCGTATAGGCAATCAAAACGCATCCCCAATCGTTGAAGAATGGCGTTTGTCTGGGTTCTGAGATGGAGCAAAAGTTGGCGTACCCACAAGCAAACCCGGGTACCCCGCCTCTCCTTTCAAGGGAAACCAAGGGAACTAAGGTATGGGTGACTGGCTTTGGACTACACTTGGGTGAAAGTAGGTGGCACAATCTCCTAGTTTGGCCTTGTCATCCCTTCACTTACCCACATCTGTCCGGCATTGTACCAAGCCTTCACCCTGGCGTAATCAAAAGGAGGACCATTCTAAGTCTCCAAAATATGTCAAACGTCTGCCATGACACAACTCCCAGAAAAAAGGAACGGCTTCTCACATCTGGAGCACATCCTACCCCTCGGCGTTTGGGATTCACCGAACCCAAGGAACCCGAGGAACCCGAGGGCCGAGCCGTGATGATTTTGAAGGTGGACTTCTCCATCACCTTGTAAGCCATGAACCCCGGTTGCCCATTTGCCCGTTCAGGCCGTGGGAGAAAAAAATGGTGGCACATGTTATTGTTGCAAGGCAAAAAGGGCACTGGAGGGCTTCAGCTGCCAAAGCACCGTTGGACACACGTAAGAACAAAATGATGCGACACATGGATGCTAACCCCCTGGTTTCAGCTCGATCACAATCCCTTAACTAGTGCCTCCAAAAAGGACTAGGGCCGACTAGGGCAGAAAGGCATGCGTCAAACCCCTGGAACTCGAGCTTGATCCGCAGCAACTTGCAGAGTAGATGTGAGACTGCAGTCAGCAGCCATGTAGCCCCCTATAGCATGGAAACGTGGCGAGTACTCTCTGCCAACATAATTTTCCAATTTGTGAAACTCTTCGGAAAAGGAGGTGGTTCGAACCCGCAAAGCCGTGTGTTCCCCAGGATGCCCCAAGCCACCCGTTCCGTGAAGGCCAAGACGGTTGCCAAAACCGCGGGCTTTGGGCATGTTGGGCAAAAATGAGCGATCGTGTTGATCAAAGGGAGGTAGAAAAACCCACCGCTCGTGGTTCCAAGTCCCGTCTGAAGACACCCCCGGTTTTGCTTCACCTCGGTAGCAGCACCTCACCTGATAAAAACCCCACCCGTTTTTCCCATTTAAACCCAACCCAACCCAGCCCACCGCACACGCCCGAACCCTCCGCTTCGGGATCAAACCCCTTCTTAGCAGATCCGAACGACAGGCCAAGGCGCTGTGAACTTACCGATGCTGAGGTACATGATTCGTGAGGAGAAGTTCACCCCTCGGCAAACTGCGATGCTCAGGTGAGTCTCGGGTGTTCAACTAGCTCTCTACTTTGCAATATGGGAATGGATCGCGCCAGTATGGTTGGCAAATTCGTTGCGTGACTATTCAAAAAAATGCACAATACGTTTAGAAGCCAAGGCCAACTAAGCAGCAGTATCTTCGGCTTCAGATTATGTGGAACGGCAATTACAAAGAAGTCATGTTGATTCCCTGTGATCACCGAGCAAAACAGAAGATGCTGCTCGCTTCACAAATCCGTAGTGTTGCTTTTTGGTCACTAGACTTGGCCTGAGAATTAGCCTGAGAGTTCATAGTCTGCGGTCTAACACTGTTCGCGACAGCTATACTATAAACCAACCCAAAAAATAACATGATTGATTTTCCCAAAGGGGATGTGCTTGGTGGCGCTTGCAGTCCCCAAACGAACAATTGGGGGCATACCCGTGGGGTTGTGCGGAAAAGTGTCTCTCTGTGTGTGTGCGCGCCTGACGCCTAATGGGAGCAAAGATTCTGCACTATGAGGCTAAACACGGGGGTCTCCCAAAAACGGAGAACGGACTCTTACTTGTGCTCGAAAGCTGTCAACAAGACAACAAATAATGTCCCCAAGGATCCAAAGCAGAAGCAACGTCAACGCCCTCACCTTCGATGTCTATGAACCAAGCTGACCCCACTGCCCACTGCCCACTGCCCACTGGCTGAGAGCGTGGCGATCCTCCTCTGCGATGATCTCCGTGACCTCCTGGCATGAGCTCTCCTGTTCCTTGATCCAAGATATGCAAAACCTAATTTGCGGGGTGGAGTTTGTTTGCTGAAATGAAACTGTGCTTGGGTTCATAGATGAACCAGGTGGACTGAAAGGGGTAGGGGAACTATGGGGGAAGATCTTCGCCCCTTTCTTCAATACCGACAGGTGGCAACTTTAGGATCTTCTCAAGGGGCTGATGATTGTGCCATCCCCCAAAACAATGGAATGGAAACTGGGCCTCATGGCGGTTATGGGAAAACGAGTGATCCCTGAACTCAAGAACATGCCGCCAGCTGTGGTTTACAGGCATGTTTCCTCAATCACCACTGATCTCTGTTGTCTGCAGATCCATGTTGTGCTTAAACCTGTGGTCCCAAGGATGAGTCGGGGATGTGATTGAACACTTTTGTCCCAGCTGCGAAGGTGCGTCATAGGTCCACAGGTCCGATTTGAGCAACTTTACACTTTCCCAGCTGGTTAAAGCAGCTGCCAGCTCCCAACTCCCTGAATTAACTCTCTTGTACCTCAAACCCAAAACCGGCAAAGCGCTGCCGGGCCCGCCCGGTGTCGCAACGGCGTCAGCGGGCTAAATAACCTATCGCAGCAGGCCTCAGATCAGCACGTTGCGGGAAGTCACAAAGGTGGCGCTAGTCCCCAACGATACGAAGCTTGGGTGGCGAACCCTCAAGCTTAGGTGACCCAAAACACTGGGAAAACATGACTCAAGCCTGAAGCCACCCAATAACCTGCTGTTGGAAAAGTCTAGCAGACCTTGTTGCACCCTTCCCACAACACTCAAACGGGAGTTCCCCTGATGCATTGCTGCAACCGTGTAATTGAGGACCTTTAGGTGGATATCATTTGCATGAGCCACAGAAAACAGACAAATTTGTTGTGTTCCCGACCTGCACGAGAGTTTGATGAGTCATCCTCCTTTCCCAAAGGTGTTTTGGTGAGTGTACTCACCTTACCATAAATGATGGCGAATACTAAGCATTGCCCACATGGGACTGAATTTTCTTTTCACAACCGTTCTGATGGTGTTTCCCATTTCTGGCTTGACCTTGCGCGGCAGCTCCTGCCACATGCGCGCGTGCTCAGGCTAACACGTTGGAGAACAAGATCCTCCCATTCGCAAAGTGGACCTGGCCGACATTGGTGTGGCTTTTTTGTTGCACCCTCTTGGTTTGTTCTCGAACCCCAAACCCGTTGGGAGCTCCATTTTGCTGTTGGTTTGTGGGACCAAAAACGGGTCGGGGTCAAAAAAAGCTCCCATTCCTGCTTCAAAGGGGATGCCCCGAGGGCTACTCACCGAAAATTGGCGGCCTAAAACCAATATGCTTCTTTGAAGACATGCTGTTGCATGGATCACAAAGGGACCAACCGCTTTAGGTGGTGGGGTCCCCAATGTCTGGCAACACCACCCCCGGAGCACGGAGCCACGGAGTCAGCTGGCTGAAAAATTGGAAGTGAGCCGGCGCGACCAGCATGCAGTTCCGGTCGTTTTGCAGCGTCTCCAGGTGACCCTGGCCCCGCCAGAGATAAGACAAAGCCATGGCTTCATGGGTCCTTCTGCTTAGACAACTGCACTGGGAATACAACCTATAACAAGGGAATGTCCTTATGGGAACACAACCTACAAGTTGTAGGCCAATAAGAGAGAATGTCTGTATTTGTAGGAATACAACCTATGAATGGAAGTCCTTCTGGCTTGCTAAACTCCCGCTTTAGGGGTCAGGGATCCAATCCGGCAAAGGGGTCTCTGACAGCACAGTTGGTGAGGCAAAAGAATACCAAACCTCTGTTTGAGCCCAGTTGTAGACCACACCCTCTGTTTGATTCGTAGCTGTTGCCCTTTCGTGGATCTAACAGTTTAGATTGGGGTCACCAACTCCTCTAATCTACTTTGCTGGTTCAACCCTTGTGAGGCGTGTTGACGCCGACCCGGCGTAAGTCACCAACACAGGTTGCTGCAGCTCATGGAGACCTCCCCATCTGCAATGTTGCAATGCCAAAACCTGAGAAAAAGATCGGATCCCCGGTCAAAGGACCTACATGTGACAAGTTTCAATAGACCCGAAATGATGGACTCCATTTACGGGATATAGTGATCCACCAACCACTTTTGAGGTGACACTGAAAATTAATCGCCACAGCATCGCACTTGGAAAATAGAAGCACCAAAAGCTCAAGAGCCCAATGCCTGGTAAAGGGAGCCCACATCGAACTTGGACTGATGAATCCTCAGACTCGCTCGATGCAACTGGGCTCAAAGGTGCATCCTCGACATGACAATCCACATATTTCCAGGTGTTTTGGAGGGTGGAAGCCAAAAAGAGTCCACCGGTCATTTCAAGGGAAGGTACAGCCGACTCTGGCGTGCACACAAAAAAAGTGAGGCGGGGGCGTATCTTCATCAGCGTTGCGCAAGGTGGCCGGAGACGTCCTTGGCAAACGCAGCCGTCGGCTAGGGCCGACTTCGAAAACAAAACCAAAAGGAAACAGAAGCATCTGAGTCACAATCAAAACCCGGTATTCAGATGGTCCACAATTCAGAAGGCGGCCGCAACTATTTCTGGCTGGCACTGCCCCTTACTAACCTTCATCTACCCGGGTTTTGATTGTGGCTCATCTGGGCATTCCCAAAATGAAAACACAATTGCAAATGTCCAAAACTCCTCCCCCTTCTTGGCTGATGTTTGAGGGGCAATCAACCGAACCAAACCGTGTTTAGGGCTCCCCCATTTGGAGAAGTCAACCCCCTCCCCCCCACCGAACCGACGTCTTTTGCAGGCGAGGGGCACAAAGGCACTGGCCGACTTCCGCGGTCGGTCCAGCCTGGCGGTTTGGTCGGGTTCCTGCAGAAGCCAATGGGTCCAGGTGCTGGTCAGGGGACTTTTGACTTGGACACCACCGTTAAACCACCGGGACCGGTACCCTCAAAAAACAGACAGTGTTCACGTGATCCGAAGGAGGCATGACCATCCGGGCGTGTCTCAGAAGTAGAGGTTCTGGATAGGTACGGGTCCGGGTCAAAAATAGGCCCTCCTCGCCCTCCTCCAATGCCCAACGATGTCATATTTGAAACCGTTCCAAAAAGGGGCCCAAGTTTTGACACTCTCTGATGTTTTCAGGCCTACCTGTTCAAACGTGTCTGAACCCTTGGTTTTGAGCCTGGTCTCCCCTTTTAAAAGGGGCCATGGTCTGCCTTTCCCTTTTTCAAGGGGCCATGGAGCTTGGCCCATCAGCCCATCGAACGGAGCGAAGTGCCTCGAGGCCCGGGTCTGCACTGTCGCAGGGCTGTCCTGCGACCCCGTTCGCCAATAGGATCCGGCCCGAAGGGCACCCAAAGCTGGTTGGTGGCCCTTGGATTTCCGTGTCAAACCAACCCAAAAAAGCCGCAGCCACAGGAAGGACAGCCAAAAAGGCGAAAAGTCGACAATTGTGAGCTTCGTTGGGCCAAAAAGAGCTAAGGGGAGGCCAGATTTGTCTAAACTCCTGGAGGCGTATCGGGGTATCCCATAGAGGTGATTCTTTTGGGAGTGTGGACTGCCCAGGTGTTGCTGTTCAACAATGATGGGCACCCCGGCTTAATACATCATAATAAACCCCGGGTTGATTAATAAGGGCGTCCCCCCCTTTTAGCGGGAATCCGGATGACTTTTGTGGGAAGGGGCAACAATATGGCCATGCGTCAAAAGCCCGTACCCCCAGTGAACACCCCAATCCCCACTAAAATATTGACTAAAATGGGTGGTGCACCTACCCCAAAATAGTACCATTGGTTCTGACCCACAGCCACGTCTGTTCTATCAACAACAGTTTGAACGGAAGAAGTGAGATCAGCTCCTCAAAAGCTGGCCGCGGAACAGCATCGTCCAGGCTCTTGGAAGATGCCTGCGGGTGTAGGCGCGAGTTGAAGACTCCCAAGGAAGCTTGGCTCTGTCCGCTCAAAGTCAAAACATGGAAGGCACCAGACTTCCTCAGCAGGGAAACCTTATGCTTGCAAAAGGTTTGGCGCTCTGGCTTTCCAGCCCAAAGCCAACTTGAACCTATGCTCCGTTCGAGGGTCAAAACTGACATGCGCTCATAGACCTGTGGTTCCTGATTTCGGCCCCTCTGAAACCATGTGGGAGGATCGCATGTCGACGTAAACAAGCAAGGGCGACCCGAAGCAAGAGGTCGAGGTGCAAGCCTCAAACGTCACAGGCAGCGGTTCTCAGGTGGCTAGAGTCGCAGGGAGCCTCTGTTCAAGTCCCACGCTGGTGGAAAGAATTCTATAAAAGGACTCCCCTGGCGTGTGAGTCGAGTTTCTGCAGCTCGCTCCGAGCTCCAAACTGGCATCCTCACCTGCGGGCGCCTGCCAAGTGCAGAATCAGGTCATCCACATAAGACCATTCAAAAGGCAACATGCCTGGCAGCGAACCTGCACCAGTTGTCCCTATTTCACCAGCTTGCATGAAGGAATACTTAAGGGGAACTGCTGATTTGAACCCCCAGGACAAACACATTGCTCACGTTCCGCCCTCGCGCCTGATCGATTTGCTCTGGCCCTTTGGCTTGCCTCAGCTCTGATTGGAAACTCCAACTGGGTCCACTGAAGTGACATCCTCAAATTACCCTTTAGATCGCCCTCTAAATGGCGGGTTAAAGGGAATCACCCCAGAAAGACACTTTGAGATACCACCACTTTTGAGGGATTGGAAATTTTAACCCACAGGCGTCGCTTCCGTTTGCCCATCAGCTAAGGTTGCTGCACATCTTGCCCAGTACTCCTAGGCCGGATCTAAGAGATCCGCAGCCGTGATTGAAGTCTGTAAGTGGACCAGCCACGTGACCAGGCCAAGGTCAAAAGAGCTGCTTATCTGGGTCAAGTCAGGCAAATATCTTTGCTTGGGCTCCGCCATTGCCAGTGAATGGTGAGATTGTGGACAAACCAATGTGGGTAAACAGGGAGCCATGACCATGAGCATCACTGTGAAAGTGGTCAATCCCAAATTGCTTAATTGGGAATCTTTGCACTGGTTCTCTAATCCAAATTGACGGATCCATAACCTTCTCTAGTAATCCCAGAAAACAGGTCTTCACTCTTCACAAGATACTCTGCGCAAGCTACTGTTGTCCGCGAATGCAGTTGCGCAAGTCACTCTTCGCAACAACATACTCTGCGCGAGCAACTCTGCCCAAACAACAACTCTCCGCAAGCCACTTTGCGCAAATCAATCTGCGCTAATCACTCCTGCGCTGGTCACTCCTGCGCACAAGCCGCTTTGCGCAAGTCTCTCTGCGCAAGTCACTCTTTGCACTTCACCCCACAGAAGCCGATGAATAAAAGTAATTGCGCGCACGCAAGCCACCCTGCGCAAACCCATCTTCGCGAGTCACTCTGCGCAGGTTACTCTTCACAAGTCACTTTGTGCAGTCAAATTCTACGCCAGTCAGTCTTTACCCCAGTGTGTTCGCTGCAAGCTACCACACGCAAGCCACGCAAAGCGCTGTGCGCAGTCACTCTGCGCAAGTCACACTCCACAGGTCATTGCGCGGAAGTCACTCTACGCAAGTCACTTCGCGCAAGTCACTCTGCGCACTTCACCCCGCGCAAGCAAATGAATACAAGCGCTCTGCGCAAGTCTCTCTTTGCAAGTCACTCTGCGCAAGTCACTCGGCGCAAGCCACCCTTTGCACAAGCCCTGCGCAAGTAGCTCTTCGCTTGTCACTTGTTCAAGCCACTCTGCGCAACTCGCTGCGAACAAGTCACTCAATGCAAAAACTCTGCGCAAGTCCATTGAACATCGCAAGTTTCAGTACAACAGCAGCACTCGCAGTAGCTCCAGCTCAAAAATTGCATCTCGGAAAAACAAAAAAAAGCACACAAAATACTCTGCGCAGCTTCGGCTCGAACAGCGCAACTTTCAAGCACAAGAGCAACGCGCGAAGCGCGCTTTCGCAGCTTCGGCTCCGAAATTGCCAATTCGAGCTATGAAAGTCGCACGCCAACCGCGCTTGCGCACATCTGGCTCGAAAATCAAGAGGTTCTATAGCGCGATAGTCAATCTACGGAAGTCACATTGCAGAGTTCCTATGAGCAGGTCGCCCACCGCAAGTCAACCATCTGCGCAGGGCACACGTAAGGTGCAACACGCAAGCCACTCTGCGGAAGTACCTCTACACAGGTACACGACGAGAGTCGCTCTGCGCAAGTCCCATTCAGCAAGTCACCTTGCGCAGATCACTTTGCACTTTGCGCAAGGTACTTTGAGTGAGCCGCTTTGCGCAGATTGCTGTGCATAAGTCGCTTTGCGCAAGTCACTCTCTGCAAGTGACGCTGTCAAAGAGGGCCAGCGCTTGTGCCGGAAAAAGATTTTGCGGCGCTTTTGGCAAAGGCATTCATGAACGTGAATCGAGCAGATTGCTACATTCAGAACTCAAGCCGGCATTGCCAAGCAGCGCACCAGCAGTGAAAATCCGACCAAGCCAAGAATCCAACACCCGCACGAAAACGCACAAGCAGGGCGGTGCAGAAACATGTCAAAATGGTCGAACAGCTTTTGTTCCTACAAGCAAACTCCAAGTTTAAGAAACTTCGGTCATCCAGCTTTGCTGGAGCCCACACTGGAGCACATCAGACTACACACATGCAGTCATACCACCTACGTGACTTTACCACGACCCCAACCAACCCCTTGGCAAACTTCGCTGTTGGGGTCCTCAGCTGCATGTAATTTTGACCAACCTCAAACAACTCGGGCAGTCCTGGGGCAGCTTGCATCCTTGTCGCCTGGCAAAAGCATCCGACAGCCGAAGGCGAGCAGGTCCGACCCTGGTGGGGGCTGACGAGCAGCGCCCAAAACCCACTGAGAGGCTCCACTACCCCCAAATCACTCAGCTTCCCTCTGATTGGTGGTTTGGATTGGTGGTTTGGAGGTGTTCCGGGGTTCTTCCATTTACCCTCTGCAAGAACCAAGTGTTCAAACCCCCGAACCACCAATCCAAACCACCAACCAAGGGTTCCCTGGCAAACCACGGCTGCAAAGGAAAAGCAACTTGTTTGAGGATCAAGCAACATCTTCTTGCCGCCTCGCGGCAAACTAGTCGTCTTCCGGAGTTCCGAAGTTTCCGTTTGATCCAAACCTCTTGAGCTTCCAGGTTGGGCACCTGCCAAACTCCCCCGGAGGAAGGTGCAACAAAGGTCCAACCACCCAACCGTCCAAAGAGCCAAGAGCCAAGATCCCCTAAGGTGCCAAGGACTTAGTCACTGTCGCTCGGGCGCTTTGCTCCAAGCAGCCCCCCACACCCGGTTGCGGCCTGGCTGGGCACCCCAGTAGGGCTGCAGGTGGTCTTGTGGCGGCGGCTGATACCTCCGTCCAATCAAATGTATCCCTTTAAACGTCACACCCAAAAGATGTTGAAATAGGGGGTGAGTATGTTCGAAACAGATCTTTGACTCTCTGTGTTTGCCCTTTGGTCGCGCTTGAATTGCGCAAAAGGGGAAATATGGACCTCTGACGGGTCACCGGCCAGATTCAAAAGGCTTGGGTACTTCGACCCCTTGTTTGAAGGTGGCAACAAACCACATGGCACATATGCTTGAACGACGGTATCGCAGGGAAACCAAAACGGAGGCTGGAAAGCGCTTTGTAAAGGAACATCCAACCACAATCTTTAAGAACCCACAAGCCCCAAAACTGGCACACAACAAAATAGCGCCAACATGACCCCCACGCGTCATCAAACCTCAACTTGGGCCCCGGCTGCTCTCGGCTCAGCTGCGAGGGGAAGGAGGTTCTTAGCCCAGGCGAGGCGAGAATTCTGAGCTCAACCACGAAAGTCGCTTTATAGAAAATTTCCAATGCAGATTTCGCGATGACTTTCAACCATCTTCTTTCTTTGGAAGGGATGTTTGGGAAGATGGACTTGCAACCCCCCGTCCACTTCTATTGGAAGGCAGTCACAACAACTCGCACACGCGGCCTGTTCAAAGGCCCGTCGAACATCGGAACATCGCAGCCAGAAGACGGGCTGGCTTTGCCAAGTTATGTAGGTATCTTTGACCTTTGCAATGCCTATCTGGCAGTCTAACCCCCTTTGAACATACCGGGCCCCTAGAAAAAGCTCAGTGGTGGCCACCGCATGTCTGTAAAATTCCTTGGGCAAGTTTGGCATCTCCGTAAAACCAGAGGCACTCATCAGTTTGGCAACCAGACATGTTTACACAAAGGTAGCCGAAAAACCGGGAACCGCGCTTCAGAGGCTGCACGGACCACAAGGCCATAAGCGGGTAGTTAATCTACAACCTAGGGGTTCATAGGGTTCATAGGGTTCATAGGGTCATAGGGTTCATAGGGTTCATAGGGGTTCATGGGTTCGCAAACACTCTTGACAAAGGCAACTTCCGGCGAGCCGCGCCGCGGGTGCAGGGGGCCGGTGGATTGTCTCCAGTTGTTGCTGCAACAGCTGCCGCTGCTGTCGCTGCTGCTCCTGTATCAGCCGCTGCTGCACCTATCGGATCCGGAGACAAACCCCTTTTCTTCGGGGAATCGGCTGTGCGCGTGCATGCACAGCAGCGCGAATTCATGAGCGCGTACGTGTGCGTGCGGGTGCGTGCGCGCGAGCGCGCGCGCGGGGGTGCAGATGCGGGCACGGCTTGGTGCGGGTGCGGGTATGCGTGAGCGTGAGTGCGCGGATGCGTGAGCGTGCGCGTGCGGATGCGGGCGGGCGCGTACGCATGCTCCACACCCGCACACGTTCGCCGGCTTGCGTGTGCATGCGTGCGTGCGCGCCAGTGCGTGCGTGCGTGCTTGCGTGCGAGCGTGAGTGCATGCGTGCGTGCGTGCGTGCACCCTGCCTGCCTGCCTGCCTGCCTGCCTGCCTGCCTGCCTGCCTGCCTGCCTGCCTGCCTGCCTGCCTGCCTGCCTGCCTGCCTGCCTGCCTGCCTGCGTGCACGCATGCGTGCGTGCGTGCGTGCATGCGTGCGCCCATGCAAATGAAAGTGCACCAACCGATTAACCGAAGCATGTCAATATCACACACACACACACATCCACACACACACACACATCCACACACACACACACTTAAACACACACACACACACACACACACACACACACACACACACACACACACACACACACACACACACACACACACACGCACACGCACACGCACACGCACACGCACACGCACACGCACACGCACACGCACACGCACACGCACACGCACACGCACACGCACACGCACACGCACACGCACACGCACACGCACACGCACACACACACACACACACACACACACACACACACACACACACACACACACACACACACACACACACACACATATCTGCACCGTCTACATGCAAGCATCGCGCCGCTGGCACACGTCAACCCTCCAAAGGCCTGCTGCTGAAGTCGCATGAGCTCCTGCGAAAGAGCTTGCAAGACGGTCTCCACATATGTCTCGCAAGGGACCGAAGCCCATGGCTTTGGCCATCTATGGAACCAAAGTTCATCTGCAGAGTGCCTGCTTCGTTTCGGCGCTTCCTGTGGGTGCGTTTACAGGAAACCAACCAGGCCCCCGAATTGTTGAAGCCATGGTGTGTCCTAAAGCAGGACCCCCCCCCCACACGGGGCTGATTTCCTTTATAACCACAAAACAAATGGCACCGCCTGCTTCTTGGGCGCTGCAAGCACAGCTTTCACCGAGGTCTTCATTCCACAAGGCCATCCGCATGCGCAGTCTTCCAAAATCATGTGTTTGAGTGTGCCAAACCATATGCCAGATACCGTTGTGCTGCCTCTGATCATGCTTCCGTTGATACACTACGGTATAAGGGTTGGCTGGATCCAATATTCCAAAGTTGATGACTACACTTGCCCCCCAAAGCATCATGTTGACCGTGGCCGTTGGCAACTGTCTCAAAAGGGAAGACCCCCAAATCGGCAGGCAGGTGTTCGCTTGGTTTGCCTTTTGCATAAGCCAAACAAGCTGAAAAAAGAAATGTACCCATTTGAGTCACGGTCAAGATATGCGGATACCCGAAAGCACATGGGAAAGTTGGTGAGTCCCATGTTTTGGTGATCCCCCCGTGCCTCTCCCAACTGTACCATGGGCTACTTGGTATGAGAACCGAACCTCATGTTTTCTCCAAAAGGGGAGCCGTCAAAATGGAGTCCCCGCCGTTTCCCATTTTAAGTCAGCCTCCAAAAAGCGAACATCTTAGAATGAAAAAGAAGCGTACGCCACATCCTCCGCTTGCATCTGCTGCCCATAGCGAGGGTCGTGCTGCGGCTGAGGCGTGCTGCGCGTTCTCTCCGCCACGGACCTCGGAGGGGCTGGGACTGTGCTGCGATGGGCGGGGGGACACTTCTTCACCTGTTCCCGGGGGAATTCCCCTGGTCCAAAAGTGCCGCTTTTGCCAGATGTATGACCATCTCGGCAGCAGGCCATCCCAATCACAACTACTTTTAGGGGGACTCCCTTGACCATTCGCAGCGGCATTGCCAATTTTCAGTCATCTAATTTTGCCCGCTTTTGGAAAAACAAAGACGGCAACATGCAGCAACCCTCTCAAAACCCCACAATTGTTGACCACCAAACCCCCAAAAGAAAGTAGACTTTATGCGACCATCTTCATGTAAAAGAGCTGGTCAAAGGCAAACCTGGCAGAGCTTTTGGCACGATCCCACATTTTTTCAGGCTTACTACGCATGGGCCAGAATCAAACGTATGGTCTTGCTTGAACGGCTGGCAGGGTTGGCGAACATAAATCCCCGAAGTAGCTTGTAAAGCACCCCATGAATCTTACAGTAATTCCAAACGTGGAAAAAGGTGGAGCACAGGACCTAGTCCCGTGAGCTTGCTATAGGCAGGTCCCATGAAAACCTCAGGCTTCAAGGCTTTTGCGAATTCCAAAACTCGCCTCGCAGCCTCGCTCGGAGCCTGCAGACAAGGTGCGGCATGTCCAGCAGCGGCTGTTGCATAGGCAGCCTAAGAGCGAATCCTTCCAAAGACCCAGTTGGTGAAAAGACCCCGTTCCCCGTCCTTTGTTTGGTGGGGGGGAAATGGAGTGATGGACTGTGTGGGCAGGAAAGCCCGCCCGGTTTGGGTTCAACCCATGTTGGGTTTGTCAAATAGGGACGCCCTCACAGCGGGTGGCCCTTTGGCTTCCCTAACCAACTCCAAGGGTAGCTGTGGAGAACCAGGACCACTTCCCCATTTTCCTGGGGCCAGACTTTCACTGAGGCCCCAGCTGCATGTGAGACTGCTGCAAGTACTGCTGCTGCGCGTTCACTCTGTACTGCGACTGCCTAAGGGTCCAACGTACGGCTCCCTCGTCCCGGCCACCCTCGGGGTTTCCGTTAGGTTTTGGCAAGTCAACCAGCGCCCCTCTTTGGCTGCGACCAAAAAGCCCGCAGCCTGTGACCTTCTCGTGGACGTTCTGCAAAAGGGGATTCAAACAAGCACTTTGGGTGCCCCAACTGTGGATTTGACCTGGTTTCCCGTTGGCACGCCTGTGGCACTTCTTTAAAGCACTCTCGTGGCACATTTTGGGCGGCTCACTGTTCCTTTCGATTATCATTCTGTTGAACCACAAAGTCGAACCCCTCGCTGCGATGGCGAACTGGAGTTTCGGGCACTCAATTATGCGTGTGCCGCACTCTGGTTTCAAGATGAAGCTTCCTCTTTTGAAAGGGAGCCAACATTACGCCAACCAATTTCAGCGGCTCCAGCTTGGGCACATGCCCATTTGGCTGGCTTCGGAGCAACCTTGTTTTTAGCAACCACCGCCACCACCACCACCACCACCGCCACCACCGCCACCACCGCCACCACCACCACCCCCGCCGCCGCCGCCGCCGCCCCCACCACCACCACTGCCACCACCACCGCCACCACCGGCCACCCACCCTGCCCCACCCATGGTGGTGGGATTTCCAGTGAAAAGAGGCGGGGTTCCCCCATAGGAAATCCAAATGATTCCACGGCACAGATCCGCAGCGCCCAGGAAGGGAGGCATGCCTAAGCACCCGGTCGGCTTCAGATCCGGCCTTTTGGACGAAGCCCCTTTGGCAAAGGGGGTGGAAACCATGGGGAGCCATGGGCAAATGGGGGAAACCAGGGGCAAACATGGGAAACCATGGGCAAAGGAAAGGAAAAATGACAACGGAAGCAACAACGACTATGATGCAAACCAGCCGAGCATTGATGGCTCAGGGAAGAGGGCTTCCTGTTCCTTGGATAGGCTCTGGGCCCCATAGCTATCACAGTGAAGGAAAATAATACCAGTGAGCAATGACTGAGCAAAATAGTGTGCATGGACAAAACCTGCAGCTGGTATCTGCAATGTGGCTTTTGGCCATCCACACAGTTTTGACGCACCACATCCACAAAGCCGGCGCTTCTGTGACCCTGTTCCAAGCCGCTCGGAGGCACGCGACTGCCGGCATCCTGTTGCCAGCCGTAGTCCCAGGCCTGTTGGCAGCGGCTTGCAAGGGTGGGTCAGTAAAGAGCAGCCCGAGCACAGGAAGCAGCAAAAGCGTAAAGACCTTGCTGAGTGGGCGAAAGCATGCGATGTCAGGGGACCCAATCAGAGCTTAGCTACTGTTGCTGTGGGCTTCGAAAACAAACATCAAGAATCGCTGGAGTTCGCTGTGATGGTAGCATGGCAGACCCAAGAGCCACTGCTTGACTAGTCGAACAAACTTGTGAGTGGCAAGGGTTGCTCGCTGGAAAAATTGATGTGGAACCACAACAGACCCCTTAAGAAACGGGTACTTGCAGAGGAATCACCTTTTGCGAGAAGGACCCTCTTTTGGAGTTCCTTCCACTAATTTTCAAGAGAGGCCCCCAATCTCTACCGCTTTTGGCCCAAACCTTCCAATTGCCCAAAAAGACCCACCCCCCGAACTGATTCAAAGCCAGCGTAATAGTGCGGAGTGCCTTTGGCAGCTAAGGCAAAACATTCAATGAGGGCCATAAACTTCCCATCGCTCCCTTTGCTATGTCCTTGACAAAAGTGGCCTTCCAGGGACGTCCAAGCGAAGCGAAGTACACAGACCCCATAGTACTCCCGCGGATTGCAATGGACACCAATCCCAGGAGCCTCCTTCCGATCATGGACTCGGCAAAAGCAGCAGCAGCAGCAGCAGCAGCAGCAGCAGCAGCAGCAGCAGCAGCAGCAGCAGCAGCAGCAGCAGCAGCAGCAGCAGCAGGGCAACAGGAACCCAGGATCAATGAATCCCTGGTTGAATGTCACTGGAAAGTGTCGCATAGAGATCCGGATCACTTTTTGGGGAGCCGCAAATTCCACGAAGCGCGCCAACAGGTCGACATTGCTCCACAGATCCGGATTCCCTTGGAGAATCGGCCAACCCGGGCATATGAAATTCCACGTCCCCGCCAACCAGAGGCGAGTAAGAGGCTAAGGACCATTGAGGGACCCATTCCTTCCCAACCAAAACGTCTCGTTGGGTTTGATCGGTCCATCCCGCCTGCGCCGGGCCAGTGCCCCAATTCCCAGGGGCCTGGGCCTGGCCAAAAAGCTGCGCGGCCGGGACTTTGGGTCGTCCTTTTGGGACGTTTATTCCTTTTGGCGCCTTTTTCAACTCTTGGCTTTTCCTGGGCAACTTCTTTTAAACGAGACAAGCCCAAATGGGATCTATCTCTCTCTCTCTCTCTCGCAGCTCCTGGCAGCGCATGGCTATTCTCTGCGGGTCTCATCTGTACATGGGCACCGGTTGGGTTTGTATTTCTTGGCGACTACTTTGCTGGCAGTGGTGGAAAATCTGCTCCGTGACACCAAACTGGCTCAGCATGATCGCAACTCAGCTCTTTCAGACATGGATCATGCTGTTTGCTCTTTTTGGAAACCTTGAAACCAGAGAACAACAAAAGGCCCTAAACCATCCCGGAAAGTCATCCGGAAAGTCATCCCTACCCCCAGTTGGGTCTGAGTCGTGGGTATCCAATGGCACCGCCCACCTGCTCCCAAGCCCCCCGAAACCCACCCCAGATTGCGCGCCTGTCTCACAAGCCTCGAAGGCTCGGAGCCTGGGCGAAGCAACATGCACACGTAAGGTCTCGGTATGCGGCAAAAAAACGAAACATGGTACTATCCAGTTGGTCTCCTTTAAAATGGGCCAAATGGTTCCCTCAAAACAAGGCACACCCATATCTCCTGTATGCAAATGGAGGGAAGCGCAACGCACGCACACTCACTCTCGCGGACTCCCACACTGGCACACTCGCAAGCAAGCACACACACACACACCCAAAAAAAAGAAGCGAACCATACAAAGACAAACAAAAAAAATAGACTTGGAAAGACAAAGCACAATTCAGGAGGCAACCATCGGAACGAAACACTCCTTGCCTGCATCTGTTGCCGGCGAGCATCTATCGCTATCAAGCTTGACACCGGATAGGCCAGTCGAGATGATTGCAGGCTGCATGGTGTCCGGTTTAAACTCGCCGGACACGAGGTTGCCAATGTCCAAGCGCTGCGGGACTCTGCCTTCCTGATGTCGTCGGGAAATGTTGGCATGAACAAGTTGAGCAAGCACGCCGGTTGCAGCGATATGACATTGCAGGTTGGGAGTGTTTGAAACCCGCAAAAGGAATCAATGGGCACTTTAAACGCTGACAATGGAAGTGCCCCGTTCTGGCAGCAAGACCCAACCCCTGAAATTACAAAGCAACAACTCCTGAAAGTTCCGGATCCCATCCGCGAAGCGCTGGCTTGGTTTCGGAGGGCCTTTTCAACGCCAGAAAGGAGTGGACCCGCTTCTTGACACCGCAGACTTGTGAATGGAAGAAAAAGGCTGAACAAGAGATAAGAAAGGTCCACCATTCGCTGTCATCATTATTGCTAAGGATCAACAAAGGTCGACCCACACGGGACATCCTGGTACAAGTTTAGTTCAAGACACCTCCAAAAGTGAGTGTCGCTTAGTTGGGAAAGTTGTTTCGGTTTGGTGGTGTCTCGTGCCCCCTCAATGCGATTTGATCAACTGATTGTTTCCCTCCCGAAGCTGTCTCACTTTCGTCATCCTTTCTGCTTCTCCCCAACCTTGGTGAGTCCGCTGGCTTAGGTTTCCGGTTGGCTCAGGGCATGCTTTGGAGGGAGTTTCGGTTGGACGGTTGATCTAGGGGGGGTCAAGCATTTAGAGTTCGCTTCGTGTGGCTTCACCGTGTGTCGCTTGCTTGCATGCCTGCTTGCTGGCTGGTTGGCTTGGCTGGGCCAGTGCTTCACGGCTTCCAGGCTTGCTTGCCGTTCACTCAAAATGGGAGACATATCTGGCAAAAGGAAGAGCACAACGTCGTAAAATGTCTGCAAGTTGTACTGCAACCCCAAAGTTGTCTGGATCCCCATCAGAATCGAAAAGTGTCTGGTTAACCAACTTGTGCCAATAATTCCACCTGGCGGATATGGCGGACGAATCTGGTGCTCCCCCCCAACCCAATATTTCATGATCCTAAACCAGGGATCTCTAAATCCCTAAACCCTGTGGGATTTTCCTCCAAACCCTAACCCAGAGTGACTCACTCTGCTGAATTTCGCTGAATCGAGTTTGCTGGCCTTGGGATCGAGTTTGAGCCTTCGCCCTGTCCTCCACTTCACGAGGCTCCTTCTCCTTCACAAAGTCAACGTCGGTCTTCAGGACGTATTTGGTGGAATTCTTGCCTCCCACCTCACAAGCAAAAGGAAAAGCGTGGCTCTCAAAGGGACCCAAAGATAGGAAAAGGCGCCCCTTTCGAGATGCCTTCAAATCTAAGCAATTTTAGGAGAACATCCTAAAGGCTTGTGAGGCCAAGACACGGGGCGAACGAGAATTACGAAGCTGGTTGGATGGCCAAAAGCACACCCCACCTCAAGTCCTGGCTCCGGCCTCCCCCCTGCTTTAGACGGATGCCGGCTTGGAGCTGGTGTGTCTTCTCATTTGGTTTCAACAGGGTCAAATCCCCAATCCATCCAAACCACCCAGGAATAGCCTGATAGGAGAAGGGGGGTGCGCTTTAGTCTCCGTAAAGCCAACCCAAAAAGTGTACCAGCTAAAAAAAAAAAAAAAAAACGGGCGGCTTCTTCCAGATCGGTCCAAGGGATTCTCGGCGTTAAGAGAAATCCCGCCTTCTCCACCACCGGGATGTTGGCCAATAGGCCCTTCACGTCACGGTAGCCGTAGTCCTGGCGCAGGAAGAACGCCAAAATGCCACGAGCTTTGGAGGCCTTTTGAAAAGTCGCCCCGAGAGAACGTGGGAAAATTGGGTGGGCCCTGGCTGTGTTTGTGGGAAACGTGGTTTCTCGTTGTGGTTTGGTTCGCTTGGGAAATCCCCTTGCTTTCCTTTGCCGCGCTCAGGTTTTGAGATCATCAAATCATCAACACTGGCCTTGGCAACTCGCCACAGAATGTCAGCGGAAAGCTTGGGGCTGCCTTTTGATGTCAGATTTGGATACACCGCTTCAAAGTGCAACGCCTCGCTCTTTGAAGCCAGTCCTCTAAAGTCAAAGCCTGCCAAATCCAGGCTGGAGTTTCCCAAACTAGGAAAGCCCCAAATCATGTGCTGCTTGCTTTTGCCGTGCCTTCTTCACGGACCGAGGGGCTCCATTGGACACCCCAAGCAAAGTCATCCTTGCCAGTGTCGCCTGCAGTGCCTACAGGTAAAAACCAGGAGGCGTCCGCTCCTACAAACCTACCCCCCCAGTCTTTTATGCCCATAACGCCTCGGTGTGTCGGCTGATTTGGCGGTTGGAAAAAAATATGAGCCCCTTGTTGGACCACAGGCAGGTCCGACTCAAAAGGAGACGTTTCTGGGAGGGAAACCAAACGGAGGTTTCAACGGTTGGTAGCAAAAGCATGTTTACCATGTATAAGCACGTTTACCATTAAAGTCATATCCCAAACTTGACCCTCTCCACATGGTGGTTTGAAAGGAAGCAACCCCCAAAAAGTAATTTGGAGACCCCACCAAATGCAACCGCTTGAAGCTGAACCCAGTGAAACAAGGGGTTGAATCTCATCCACCCGCAGCAAGCCTCCAAAGCAACCCTAAGGCAGGCCTTGCACTGCAGCTTCTCGTGGGGGAAGAAGCAGTTCCACATGTCTCGGAAATTCTTCGCGGGGATCTCCCGACTTCCGCAACGGCGGAAGACCTCAATGACCTCGGTTCGTCATTTGCTCAGCACTCTTTCAGAAATCTGTCAATATGGGTAGGGGTCGATGGTTGTTTTCTTGGCTTCCATTCCTCCATTCACTCCAACGAGCGAAGGGCCCTCACCACAAAAACCGCATCCAACGCGTTTTCAAGATTCTCACCCTTATAACCCCTCCTGGCATGCTGGACACGGAATGATTGGCGGGCAACCCCACCTTGTGCTGAAAGCTCTCCGGCACCGGCTTCGGCTGGTCGAAGATGGGCAGATCCTGACGAAAAACAGGTGAGGGATGGGGTTCGATGCGGGTCATTCCGAAACACGAAACAGGTGTCTTCACCCCAAGACTGGCCCAAGACACAGGTTTGGTGTGCCGTTGTCACCCTTTTCTCCCAGGCGTCATGACATTTCCCACTCGTGCATTGCACCTGAGGGGAATCCCCTCAAGTGGTCATGCAATGCTGGTTTGAAAAAGAAAAAAAACAGCAATTCCGTGCGGCACCCCAGAACACACTGGAATTCGTTGACTGTCACCCCATGCTAAATGGCAAATGGATAAATTCATCTATGTTGGCACGGCCTGTGCCACTGATTGTTCCTCTTGGAAGGATTGATGTACAGCTGCGCGCAGGCTTGAACAGAAACGTCATCTGCCATTCTCAGCCTTCTTCCACTCCGCCCTCGGTGTGTTCCCTTCCGGCTCCCATTCGACCAGTTTGGCTCCCCCCCCGTTGTGCGTATGTGCCACCGGCGGAACCCCCAAAATGGTAGCTTTCCTTCCGGTTGCCCTTACCAAGCTGAAGAGAGAACCAACAAAAAAGGCACTGCAAAGGGAAACCACGCAACAACCACACAAAACAAACACCAAATCCGGCACCCACCGGCTTTGTTGGGTGAGGCGTTCATTCTACCCCTTCCACAACACCTCGGTTGCTTTCTGCTCCCCTGCTAAAAGTTTAAACTTTTAATGGTTTAATACGGAAAACCCATTGGTTGGCAAGTTAAAGTCCCAACAGCCCTTGGCAAAACGCGCCAAAGATACGTCCGGCGCCGTCCGCCGGGCTCCTCGCGGCCTTCGAGGAGGTCGTCGCAGAACTGCTCGAAGGAGTCCCGGTCCCCCAGCTTCAACTCCATCCGATTCCCCGCGCCGATCAGCGACAGGCCCGGGATGTCCGTAAGGAAGTTGTGGAGCTTCTCGTACCCCGCCTCCTGAATTCGGAGAGAAAAAAAAGGATAAAAGGGAAAGACGAAGGGGATTTGGGGGAGTCGGGAAAAAGGGAAGACTGCGGAGTTTCAGGGAAAAAATGGGGGAGGGGGGGGGGAGTCCTAGTGAAGACGGTTCGAGGCAGGGAAACAAATGGGGGAAAACGGGAGAAGCCATGGGGGAAAGCGAAAGCAATGTCGTGTGGGAAGTCCAAGGGCCTCCAACTTCGGCTAACCCACATGGGCGCCCAGTCTCATGTAGTTTTCCTGCGCATGTACTTGTTTGGTGGGCCTACCCTATGTACATATATATATATATATATATATGTATATATATATGTGTATATATATATATATATGTATATATATATGCGCATAATATATATATATATATATATATTGTCACTAATCAAGGAGTTGAATTATGCGCTACCCAACCAGAAGCACCCACCACCCCACTCCCCCGCTCCTTGTATTGCAATGCCTCGCCATTGTTCCGAAGCTTGAAAAGGTTGTTGATCTGGGACATCAGCAGCTGCCTTTCCTGAAAAAGGTCATCCTTGAAACACTGGACAAAAAGCGTCTTCACATCCTTCTTGGTCTCGTCCTCCTCCGGCGGCTCCTCCAACATCTTCTCGATCTCGGAGCGGTGGGAGGCCGGCGAGAGAGGTACTGGCGAGGAGCTGCCTCTGTCCACCGCCCCTGGCTGCAGGATGCCCGGCAGCATCGGCCCGCTCGCGACAGGGCTCGCACTGCGCGAGGGGCTCAAAGGGCCCGGCCCGGCGCCGGCGCCGCCCGGGCTCACAGGGCCCACCGACGCAGGGGCCTTGGCATCTTCACTCTCCGCCTGGGTCACCGTTATGGAAACCTTCTCTGGAACTTCCATAGGGAGCTCCTGAAACCAGGCCACACAAGGAAACTGGCAGCCAGCCCAGAGCCCACAGCCCGCAGCCCGGAGCCCCTCCTCTCTCTCTCTCTCTCTCTCTCTCTGTCTCTCTCTCTCTCTCTCTTACCAGCAGCACATAGTGGACATGAGACCAACTTCCAGTATGTAAAACTTTGAAGCCGGCCCAACCTGGCCTGTGCTCGAGATGTGAGCATGAACCTTTTGGAAACCTGCGGTGACGTCATTTACATGGGGATCTTTGTCCACCAGCCATAAAAGTCTGCCCTGCTTTAATTCCCATGCCAAAATGTGCTCTGGTCCGTCAGCCGCCAGTCCTCGCTCGGAGCAAGGTGGGCCAGCTGAGACTCGGCCTGAGATCAACTCAGCAGCATTTGGCTCGGACGCGAGACACTCTGTGTCTCTTAGGGAACCTTCCCCCCCCCGCCCCAAACAAAAAGAAGAGAAAACAAAAAGCAAAAGAAAGAGAGATATGGCTTTTCCTTTCGTTCTCTCCCTCAAAAAAAACACACCAATGGCCCAAATACAGCTCCGAACGATTGGTTTGTGTTTGTTCAAAACCTTCGCCCGAAGGCCCGAATGTTCCCCAGTGTCCTTGTTTCGGAGTGTTTTCGGGTGGCTCATGGTTGTCAAAAATGGGGGGGGTGGGGTGGGGGGGCAAACATGAGAAAAGGGCGCCAAGAAGCACCTTGACCCTGACTACATGGTAATTTTCCCCCAAACAAGTGTCCTTCGTACCTGAGACGGGTTGGCTTCCAAAAGGCTTCCGTTCCAAAACGATTCAAAGACTCAAACCTTCGAGGTGTGGCTCTCAATGCCCGAATGGTTGGCATCCGTGGTCCTACGCGAAACCCGGCAAAAATTGAAGACATCTGAAGCCTATTTTTGACACACTCTCACATCCCAAGAGCAGGCTGTTGAAGAGACATGGAATCGTTCCGGTATCTCCAATTCCAGCTGCGAGGGACAGGGAACTCTAGACATTCCCCCACCACGGCGTCGTAAGACAGCAAGAAATCAAACAATGCTTAATACAACAACACACGTTGCCTCCGCCCACTGTCTCCGGCTCAGACGAAATGTTTGCCCTGGAAAGGCCCGTCTTGCTTCCGTGCCGATCGTCTGACTCACACCAACGGCCGGGCCTGAAGCGCTCTGGCTTCTGCAGCATCTGCCCTCATGTTTGCCTGCGCTTGCATTTTCTCCGGTCCCGAAACTAACGCGGCGCTGAGCAGCGCTGGCTCAAGAAAAGTCCGAGTCTGAGCAGCGCTGGCCAATCCAATTCTCGAGTTGGGAAATCATTCAGAGGGCCTCTTTTGTAACCCTCACATTGAGGATTGCCTTTGAACAGCCCGGTCCGTTACACACGGCCATTGACTGCATCCAGTTTCATGCCAGGCCCGTCAGCGAACGACGGGCCTATCCCACACGGTGAGCATTCACTGTGCGGGCCTGTCACTGACATGAAGATTGCGTTGGTTGCGATTCAGTTCCCTCTTCCCTCCAACTGAAACCTCGCCAAAAAACAACACACGGCCTGATCTT